TTCCCTCAATGCCTTGAAGCTCCAAGCCTTCACTTTATTGATAGACAACTCCTCAAACCTGTCATCTGACCTCGGGAATTCTTTCATCTTCACTCTGCTGCAAGGTAGGCTTAGGCTCCAGGCAGCCCACTATTCGGACTTTCATATCCAAGGCTCCAAGCCTTTTTGCTATCCTTCATAATCTCAACTTCACCTTTGGTCCTTACACAGGCAGCCCATCCCCTTTGGACTAACACCATGTGCCTGATAGCCTCCCGACCGCCCAACGACCTGTACCTTCCTTCCACCCTTCATACCTGCCTCCTTCGACCTGCCTGATGTCTCGAGCCGCCCTGAACCGCCCTCGAACCGCCCATCCTCCCATTCTTCATCATAAAACCTCCTCCTCCATCCCGGAACCAGGCCAATTCCTCTCCTTCCTTCATTTAACTCATGGACAACCAATATTTCGCCTGAAACAATCATCCTGTTTCTTCCTTTGCTCATCAAGTCTTTGAACTCTGTCACCAATCGGATCAAATGACTGACTGTCATCTTGCCGAGTAAACTGTCATCAACAAACTGCACGCAGAACCTATAACTGTTACTTTTGCTGTTCAAGACACATACCTTCGTTACATCGGTCTCTAGTAAGTCTCTTCAACCAGAGAGCAGGCTTTTTCCTTGTACAATTCCAAAGTAACCACACTCGCAGCTTCTTACCTCAACTAACATCAAGAAAGTTTACTGTCTAACTTGTCAACTTCACGATGGCTGGTTTCGATCTTCTCGCTGGATCTCCTGAGCACACTGCTGCTGCTTACCAGGCTTTGGTCAATGCTCCTCGCAATATTCGAACGCATGCCAACGCTACTGGAGGCAACGATGATCAAGCTATTCTTTCCAGCTCTGTCTATTGCCCGGGTATTGCCCGGGATGCTCACCAGAACCTGACCAACCATCAAAATGGCAGCAACCACTCCAACCACAGATTGGTCATGGATTCTGCGATTGAAGCGAATTTGCTCCAAAGCATGGCCCGGATTGATCTCGCCCATACCCATGCCATTCGGACTGATAGCCATCGCACCATCGTTGGAAGCGCCTACATTCACCCCCGAGTCGGCTCATCCTCCAGCCATGGGTCTTCAAGCACCGATCGGCTTTCCATCTCGTCCGTCGCCCGCCAAGGTCCAGCCTACTACAACGCCACCGACTATAAAGCTGGCGAGAATACGGGAATCGATAAGGGCAAGGGCAGCGAGAAGACCAACTCCTCTCCACCCACCACGATCTCTCCTGATTCCACTTCTGCAAACGTCGGCGGCTCCAACACCAAGACTCAAGGCCAGAAGCTCAATGCGGCAGATGGAACTCCCGAGAGAGCCCCTGGCTGGATTTTGCCTCGTTATCGCGGCCAAGCCTTGCCTGTTCGAGAGCCCATGAATGCTGGTGCTCAAAACAACTTCCCAGGTGGCCCTCGTGCGAGTTTGGCTGGTCAGGTGCAGCCACAGCCGCGGCAGTCTGGCTCCGAGTCAAATCGCAACCGAGTTTTCATCCCTCAGCCAGGTGTTGGGATGCCGTCAACCCACCGCAATGGCACGAAGCCCATGAACAGCCAAGCTCCAATCGGCACAGGTCGTTGGGACCATCATACCCTGAGGGAGTTACTCACTCCTCAAGCCACGTCTGTCTGGGCTCAGCATGAGCCTCAACCTGCGGTTGCTCAGAAGGGCTTCCAATCTTACGCTCCAGTTGGCGAGTTTCGACCAATGAACGCCGTCACTCGAACATTCTTCCGCCCCGAGTGCGATCCCCAGAAAGATCTCAAAATGGCCCAGGGTGTCTCGGCTAACTACAAGGGCGATGCTTTGAACCCGCGCAACCTTTCGGATGACATTCCGGAGTGCAAGAATGTTTCCTTCTTCTTGACCAATCTCCCAGCGGACGTCACCTACAGCCAGCTCCTGGGTCAAATTCGCGGCATGGGACGCGTCTGGGCTACTGTGATCAATCCTCCAGATGGTCACGAGCATTTCACCTCGGCCGCCAAGTTGGTGTTTTTCGAGCTGGCCGCGGCCCAGCGCTTCTACGCTCACTGTAGAAACCCGGCCCGTCGTCTCATCATCAGTAGCTACGCCGTCAAGATTGTTCGCAACCGGGTTCGAAAGGCCGAGGAAGATGTCGGCGGCTACCACTCTCGTGTTCTCGTCGTTACCGGCGAGTTGTCCTTTGTCAACAAGGACACTCTGCTGCGTTACTTCCGCACGAAGCTCGATTTCGACACCGAGGATGTCATAGCCCATGTTCAAGACCCTCAGACTGGAATGGGAGAGCTTGAAATCCGGTTCGCCTGCTATCGGAACCAGTCCGAGTCTGCTCGTCAAGCGCTGAGCAAGGAGTATCCTCCCGGTGCTACCCTTCCTGATGGCAGAATGTCTCCAATTTGGGAGCTCAGATACGGCGTCGACCCTTGCTCAATCTGAGAGCGTGAACCAGGCATTATCTTGATACAGTGCAGAAGCTTTTGCTATGGTGGCTCATAAGTAGTCACTCAAGGCAAATAGCACGGATCGGATGGACTGAAAGTGGAAATGGATTCACTTACACTGATCTTGGAAGGTAAAAGTTCTGGATTTTGAGTTTGATTTGTGACTAGATACCCAAGCGTTCGTTTTGGCTTTGCTGCTGAGGATATTGAATCATCGCTGACTTTGATCAATAGTGGTGTTGAGACAATGACCTGCCAAATAATATTTGCGTTGGGAGTTCTTCAGATAGTGATGGGGCTTTCAGGGTGGACACAGATACACGGATAGTCGCAGAAGCCCTCCGATAATGAATCGTTTGTTGTTTGTGCGTTGCCCTCAATTCTTCTTCCACTAATCTATCGCGATAATCATTTCGTAAATTACTCTTTGAAGCCATCACGAACACTCGGGTGTTGCATCTTCATCGTGCCTTCCGGAACGAAGGATGTTAATGATGACATAAGCATAAAATCTGCAAGTGGTCTGGGGAAGGAATGAAATCCCCTGCTCTTTCCTCTTGAAGGTACATATATGGTCTGTGCGCAAGGTTCTTCGCCCATCCAATTGGGCAGGCTCGGTGTGACGCAACCCCCACACCTTCATTCGTACTCGGTGGTGGCGGCATCGAATACACAGCTTCTCACCCTCAACTTACCTCCATCACTTGATAAGAGAAAGACACCAGGGCTTAAGGCTCACGGGAATCTCACCGAAGATGAAGGAAGCTGATGAAATCTCAGGAACCTCATCGAAGGGACCCAAAACCTCTCACAAGCGGAAGGATACGGCCTCCACGAAAGGCAATCCTGCCAAAGTATCTCCGGCTGTGAAAAGCTCACCACAACCAACGATGGCAGCAACTACGTCAGAAGGGCCAGTCGTCGACAACTCAATTTTCACAGTCATCAACAGTGATGGCACAACTTCCTACTACACAAGCACCGGTGAGCTGATTGAAGGCGAGTTTTCAAGACACACCGAAGCCACAAAGGAAGTCACCGATAGCGAGCGTGTCACAGCAAAGGGCTCGCTCAATCTACGCTCAAAGAAGACTGAGAGAATGAAGCGGAAACTTGAGAAGAAGACTGCAAAGTCCTCAGCTCGCCGGACAACTCAATTCCTCGACCTTCCCAATGAGACTCTTGTCGACATCATCAGCAACATGCTTCCCAGCGAGGTTTTAAAGACTGCTCAGACCTGCAAGACACTCCATAAGCTCATCCAACACAACGAGAAGCTTCTCTCGCGCAAAATTATCTCTCAACGATACTCCGTTCTTTCCAAGTGCTTCCGACTCCCAATCACACTCGACGAGATCGACCCAGAGCTTCACCCAGTCCTCAAGAATGACGCCAGAATCGACATGCTCGGTATCCACCGGCGATACGTTCACATCCCTCAACCGGAGCCCTACGTCTTATGCACCTGCCTCACCTGCGTCTTACGCTGGCAGGCCTGCTGTATCATTGTCGACTTCAACAAGTGGCGCCTCAACCTCGACTCCGGGGTTCCCATTACCATCATGCGTCGGGGTCAAGACGCGTCGTGGAACATGGTCTGGAAAGACAGAATCACAGACATTGTTCTCCACGCCATCCGCTCCCCGCTCGCCTACGCTCATCTACTCGAGGTCCATCTCAACAACACCTGTGCTGCGATCAAGAGACAGAGAGCGAACAAGGGTAACCGCCGTCGCCACTTTGAGATGTCCGAGGCCGACGCGGAGTCCCTCACAGACGCCTTCTTGGAGGGGAACGGTCCGCCTACCATCGATCTTCCCTACTCGCGAGATAACTATTACATGCTCGAGGCGTACATGCCCGCCAGAACCTGGCTCAAAGACGAAGAGAAGTGGGTCTATATTCCGGCGGACTTTCACGATAGAGACCTTGATTGGGTCGCGAAGCGATGGGGTCCGGAATGGGGAGTCACACATAATCGGGACAGGCCTAATGAGCAGATGATGGGACCGGCTTAGAAGGCTAAAAGGAACCTTGATTCTTACCGTACACATGCCATGTGCCACGCTCGTCATCATCCGACGGACTATAACGGCCCGCTGATTCCTGAGTCGGAGATGTGCAAGACCAGCGTGGGCCACCCAGGCGGCAGAGTAGAGGAAATTTCCTTTGCTCTGGCCCTGATTTAGAGGCAGTTTCGAAGGTTCTGGGCGGTTGTGAGGGTGGTTTGTGGTATGAGGGGAGGGCACTGATCTTTTGGTACCATGGACTACCTTACCTAATGGGAAGCGGGCAGTGATTGGGAGCTCCTAGAAGGGAGGTCTCATTTGTCACACGACTTCACATGAGCGACGAAGATAATGGTTACGATGAGTACAATGGATTTCATTGAGAAGAAGAAATCGGGCCACTAAATAACCTTGTCGTTCGTATCTCCTTCGGACCCTCCTTGCAGTCTTCTTGACCTCCCTAACTATGAACAAAGACTCGTCAAGAGCACACACAGCCTTGGCCCCTCTCTTCCATAGTCTCACAATCGGGTTTCGGGCCTCTTCGTAAAAACACAATCCAACTTTGCGGGCTTAATAATTAGCTGGAACTTGGCTTCTTCCTCAAACGTCTCGCCGTCTTCTCCAGGGGCAAATTCAAAGTCATAGTTCCAGAGAGTATAGGCAATGGTGAGCCGCAGAACGTTCCAAGCCAGACGCCTTCCTACACAGTCATACCGACCTAGACACCAGATTGTCAGCTGTTCCATTCTTCCTATGCTTTACGCGACATATGCTTACCGTAGCTAAAAGGCAAGAAAGCCCTCCGGTCAATGATCAACTCTGGGCGAGTAGTCCAGCGCTCGGGTATGAACTCATGAGGGTACCTCCAGTACTTGTGGCCTATAGTGATTATCAGCGATCAAAGTTTGTACGTCCCACGCGAGTTTCTGGACTTACTTCGATGATAGCAGTGGATTGGCGTACATAAAGTCACGTCTCCAGGGATGTAGGTCCCATCAATCGTCACACCCTCCGACGGAGCCATTCTGGGCCCATTGATCGGCGCGGGCGCATACATGCGAAGGGTCTCGGTGATGACAGCTTCAAGCAGATCAAGCTTATTGAGGTCCGTCAAAGCGAATTCCCCTTCCAAAGTCTTGGAGTGCATAGGCGCAATCTCTTCGTAAAGACGCTGACGGAGTCCGCCGTCGCGGGCGATGTAATAGAAGGCGTACCCCAAAGTGCAGGATATTGTGTCTCTGGCCTTTAGTGAGCATGTGTATTTCTCCAAACAAGAGTCCCCATATATACGTACGTCGCTCCGATGAGGATGGCTTGAGAGTCGGAATACATGATATTGACATTGAAGAAAGACTTTGGTTTCTCAGACTTGTAGTCGTCGAGGAAGTACTTCAACATATCGTGAGACTCATCAGAATCAACCTGTCCAGTCATCAGCCATACTTCCCCAAAGGTTCCTTCAAACAGGCCTTAACTTACGGCGATCCTCTCATCCACAAGTCGAACCCCCAAATCCTCAAACTCCTTTTGCATACCCATCCGCGGCAGCTTCGCCAGGAACACGAGCGGCCAAGGCGTCTGCCCCAGTCGAGCGCCCAACTTGAACGTCGTCTCAATGAGGTCGAGCATCCTATCCTCTCTGCCGTCTCGGACGGTACCGAAGTCTCGGCCGTAGCCTACACGGCCCATATTGTCAAAGGGGATGAGTTTCGCGTAGTGCGAGGCGTTGATTGGCTTTCCTTGGACTTCTTCGAGGCGAGATAGCCAGGTTCGGAGGACGGTGCGGGTTTCTTCTTCGTATCTTTCGAGGGCTGGAGGAGTATTAGCATGTTCAACCTTTCCTTGGACAAACTACCTGAAGATTTGAGGCCTAGTGGAATGAGAGGGGATGCGGCGTCACCTTTGCTTCCTAAAGCTTGGTCCCAGACTTTACGCCTGTCGCGGTGTACCTCGTTGTGCGAAAGAGAATCCAAGTTCAACTCGCCCTTTGTCCTCAAAGCGTCGTAGAATCCGGTATTGCGCTTGGTGCACTTTGTCTGTGGCCCGTGGATCTTGGTGATGGCGTCTAGGTTGACGATTGAGATGTCGTTTGGGCCTGGGGTCTTGTTAGCTGGTACTCAGCCTCCATTATCACCAGCGCTCGCTCGAGTTGTTGGATCCGTACCAACGCGCACGAAATCTCCGTGCTTCTCGTGCATTTCGAGATATCTTTCATGCAATTTCCAATCTCTGTTGAGCCACATGATGTAGGGCTTCATGATCATGGCTGGAACAGGACCGGGGAACCGGCGCAGAGGGTGGAATATTAGGCGGTATACCACGATACTGGTAAACAGGCCTGCGAAGTAAGAGCTGGATATCGCAAGATGGGCCGTTGTACCCTTTGCGAATCCCAGACTTGTGACGGACTTGATGAAAAGCAGCATCACTGCGACGCCGTGGACAACCAAAATATTGAAGACTTCCATGCTCCTGTGGCCTCGGATGAAGTAGCCCCAGTGTGCTAGGAGACCAACTCCCCCCGCCAGGGCGCAGGATAAGCCAATGCCGGTGCCCAGTGTGGCGCTCAGTGCAGATAAAATGTTTTCCATAGCGGCGTGTTTTCACGAGTGACTATTGTTTGTGGGCCTTAGTTATCAACATGTCGAGCTGTGAGGTGTTCAGGGCGGTGGAGCTTAAGTATATCGTCCGCCTAAGCTTTCCCCCTCGGGTGCCGAGGCCAGGTTTCTTCGGCCGTGCAGTATCCAGACCATCTGATACACCAATTGCAGTTCCGTCTTGGGCGACTTTGGGGTAACGCCCGAAGGATGTTCTCATGGGGCAGCCCTGTAATATGTGCAAAAGTTCGACCGGCGGCCCGTCGGATACCAGAGACTAAAGGTACCTAAGGCACTATTCTAGAGATTGAATGCTGCTTTCTGGTTGAAGCCTTTGCTTCTAGTATGAAATGTAGAGTTGGGTGGTAGGACTTCCCCGCATCTCTACCACAAATGATGCTGTAGAGAAGTAGAGATTGCGACGACTGAACGGGATCTAGATTCCGAGAGAAGGGATTAGCTCCTCGCACTTCCAAAGGTTGGGATGTTGAGAAACGAAAGGGATGCCTCATGGTTTTTTGTTCATGCGGTGTCGTCCACAGTACTGACAATTCTCACTTTGGCCTCGAGTCCTTTCCTCGTGCTACAGCATAGCACGACAAGTGATAGCAGCGATAGAGTGGGCATTCGAAAACGGTGTGTACGCGGTGAGGCATGTGGTTTGGCTCTAAGTACCGTAGCTTTCTCTGGCTCTTCAAATTCCCCCTTGAATCTTTTCACAACACATCACCATCGTCTGCTTAAGGAGGTAAATTTTGAGTGTGGTCTCGATAGCGACAGTGCACCTTGGCCTTGAGACACACAAAAAGGCATGGCAATGTATTCTGACTGCGCAAGTTACCAACGGCCCGTCGGAATAATCTAATCTTCAGCATTTTCAATTTCAAGGGAGGCAAACAGCCATCCCGTGCGAGTGCGAACTGATCAGACATGCATGTGGTTTTGTGCAATGACGTAAGGTAGTGTGTCTGTGGTGTATGTCGATTACTAATCTGATTGTTGAAACTTTGAAGCTTTGAAGCTTTGAAACGCCTGTGCCCTTCAAATCATGTTCCCGCCGTGGTATACAATTCTAATGCATGCAAATCATTCCGTAAAAATCGTCATAAGTCACCTCCGAGTCTACCAGCGACCACCGCGGCCTCCCCATCCTCCACCCCTGCCGCCGCCGTATCCATGTCTGCCGGGGCCGCCAAAGCCGCCGCCGCCGAAGCCGGGTCGGGGGCCGCATGGTCTAGGTCCACCCATCATGCCGCCGCCGTGGTGGCCGTGGTGGTGGGTCTGTACGATAACAGGGCGGGGGCCGTAGCCAGGGCCGCCGTAGCCACCTCCGTATCCTCTGCGTCTCGACAGGCCGAAGCACATCTTGTATTGTTTGTAAAGGTAGGCTGAAGGTAGTTGAGCTTGTAGATTGTGAAGATTTTGTTGACTTTAGGTCTGCCGCAGGTGATTTGATTGTGCGACTTTGTAGTAGTTGATTGTTGTTACGTCAACCGGTAGATCGAGTGTTGGTTGGAAACTTTGTGAGTTTGGATTTGGTTCTCAATGAGAGGCTCAAGTGTTCTTGTAATTGTGGTTTGTAGTGATGATGAATAGGATAATCAGTCATGATGAAGGGGAGAATCATTCCACTTTATAGATCGCCTGCTCGATGCATTCATCTGCCCAGCATAGTGCTGCCAGACCCTTCGTGCGTCATTTCGTCCCGACCGGAGAACGCTAAGTTGCCAATGCCCCAAGTCGACACTAGGATAATGGAAGCAACTTGGCTCATGTCACCATGTCATGAGGGGCCGCGCAATCGGTCTCCGCACGAAAGACAGCGAAAAACCTAGTCCCACGTCACTGAGAACGCCGCAACCAGCGCCCCCAAGTCGCTAAACGGCTCGAGCGGCTGAAGGCGAAGCCTTAAAAGAGTCAAGGTCCATCCCAGACAACGTGATTGTGGCTTTTAGATGCTGAGCCACAATGCCTTGTGCTGTTGCTGGACCTCGGCCAATGCCGAGCCACACCGAAGGGCCCCGTTGAAGAATCCCGAGGTGCCGCCACATTCCGATACATTGCGGACCCGAGCGTCTTCGTGGAGTGACCAATTGGGGCCCCGTTGGTCTTCGGCGCCGGATGGCCGGCATGGTTTGGCGCCGCATTTGGTGTGCCAAGTCCGCCGAATTGGCTTGGTGCCTTGGCTATCGTCTGTTCTTGGATTTTCTTCAGCTGCTATGTGTTGAATTGGTCCCTTTTTAGGGTTCTTGCTGAGTAAAGGTCGCTGAGAAGTCACTTGAGTCGAGTCGTCCGATGCCTCGGTTTCCCATCGAACGTCATTCTGGAACTGGGTCTGTTGACTCAGAAGTTCTAGAACGTAGTCTAAAGACTTGCGGATTGGCGGGATCGTCGCTGGGGCACAAGCGATGCTTGGATGCACTCTCTTACATTGCCCGCCCATCTAGCCAGGCAGGAACATCTGATCAACCGCCGCAACTTAGCCGATGGGTCAAGTTGAATTAATTATGATATGAAAATAGACTAATCGCCTCAATTTAAGGCTTTAGACGTGGCATAGACTTGAATACCATTATGAAGCTGCAGCATGAGCTGAGAAAGATTGCCGAAAAGAAAGGAACGCATGCCTGAGCCAGAATGAGGGAGGGGTGTGCATCAATTAGATTCAATGTTCATTGCATTATCGTCACCGCTTACCGCATGCCTTCCTCTTCATCCACTATCTATATTCTTCGAGATTTGAGTGGTTCATGATTTCGAGACTTGTAAGCCGCCTTGAACACACTGAACGACGCCCACCAACGCTCCGAGCACCAAAACCAGGATCGCCAACCAGAAAGTGCACCAAATGACCCTGTTCCGCCGGTCATACCACCATTGAGACAGCGTACGAGGAGTAGCATCATCGTACGCCTGCTTGAGGACAACCAATCGGTTCCTCCAGAAGTTGAATCTCTCGATCCTTCGGGCTTCCGCATGAAGTGTCCCGCTTGCGCCAAGTCTCCAATCAGCTGGAAGACACGGTTGTTTGGAAAGCAGCTTTTGAAGCCATGACGACCGACGACGTTTGGAACATCCCAAACCCCCAAATTCTGCCTCAGGGAATAGTAATTGCAACGTATCTTCAGTCTCCCTGAGAAATACCTGAGGGTAGAACGAACTGGTTTGGCACTCGCATCAATATGAATGTATCCATCAGTTATCTGCGAGGAGCTCCATTACTCGCCTTTGATGGCATCGAAGGAATGATACATGGTGGAATATCAAAACTCTCAAATCATTCTCGTCCTCTATCAGCAACAGGTGGTCGGCTAGATTGTCTGTTAGTTCAATCTTGATGCCCCCAATTGTGACTAGACTCCACGCATTGAAGCTCTTCGGGAAACGGATCCCTTCAATATTGAGATGAGGCAAATCCTCTAGGTGAGCCCGTACGCAATCCTTCAAGGAACCAGAACCCCAAAGAAGGTAATGGTCAAGAGATTCCTCCCCTTCAACAGGGCCAAATCGAAGCATGAGCAGGAGGCGAAGAGTGAGATTGATTGTGGTATCCACTGCTTTTTGATCTAATACTTGACGCTGATTAGATTTCAAGTAAGCATCTATCTGGCCTCTTGTGATTGTGTCTGTCTTGAGGAGATATTGAATTAGAGAGCTGAGCTCTGTAAGACTGTTGAGAGTTATGTAATGGCCATTGAAGTATCCCGCAATCAAGCCCCACTGACGATGGCAGTAGTTCTTGTACGCCGATGTACCACACGGACCTCTTGTGGGTGATCTGCCAAATTGATCATGAACGTCGGGTTTCGAAGGGCTCCAGAGGAGACTGACAAACTTTTCTGCATCGGGTTCTCTTAATTCGATCATCGTAGCATAATGCAATCATAGAGGTCTACAACATGGATGAAGAAATGTTTCACGACTGTTGGGTTATCCCTACCTGATATTATAGTTAGGAGTCAGCAGCCAGTTCTTGGGCTTAAGGGAAACCTTCCACGTATTGGATATCTGTCATTATGGGCGATGATGCGACCACTAATGCCTGGTAGCCGCGATTAGGATGTACAGTCCTTTTCTTTCATGAGAATTTCCTTCCCGCACAACTGTGCGGCATGCATGGTCATAGCCAGTGATTGTCCGCAGCCTCTCCCATTGGGCGAATGCAAAAGTATTGGCGCCCACCATGCGAAACAAACTATTGAGTCTTACCGAAATCCATGATTCTGTGGACGCCGCCTGAGAGTAGCGCTATTCTGTCGACCAGTGAAGTTTCAAGAGGCCATAAATATTGTTGCACTTTCCGCCTCACTTCTGAAGTAGGTAGGATTTGCCAGGCAAAGACTTGTTTGGTGATTTTACACTTCCATTTCAGCCCTTTCATCCCATTGCTCTCGCATTTATTAATCATATCAAACGTTGAGCTAACAATTCGAGCATCGTCACCGAACCTCTCAGCATTCTCTCAAATCATGCCACTCTTTCGACGGTCCAGATGGAGAGATCCAGAACACTCTTGCGGCAGGGTCATCGTTAACTCTGTGCTTACACGTAAGAAAGCTTGGTACGCTGAAGGACCTGCACTCAGAAAGTACCAAGATGACATCGAAGGGATCGTTCACGACGTGTTCAAGAGCATTGGACTTGATCACCCAGAGGTCTACTTTCGTTTATACATGATTGGTTCAACAACAAGGAGCTCTGAGCCGACGATAATGGTCTGTTGCATGAACAACGCTATCAGATCTCGGGTCAAAGACGAACTGCGAGGTAGCCAAGCTCTTCAAGCTTTTTCGGAATTCCAAATCCACGGAATTCCACATCCTCTGGAACACCGAACCCCAGCACAAGCACTAGCGAGAACGAGCTCTCCCAGCATTCTCCCAGAAAGCTCAAATACAGAGCTCCTGTATGACAACGATGTTTATTCTCACTCGGCTTCGCTGAAAATAGGACGAAGCCTACTGCGCTGCCGGCATGCTGGAGAACTTGAATACTGGGCCACGGGTGGAATTTTTCTACTAGTCAACGGCAACCACTATCAGTTGACTTCGGAGCATGAGTGTGATAGTCCCTCCGCGGAAGGGAAGATCACATCACACTTCGACCTAGACACCGACACGCTTTCCGTAAATGGAAGCGACGATGAAGATTATGGCCAGTTCGATAATGAGGAGACGTTGCAATCCAACTTTGACATTCTGAGCCAAGGAAGCATCACACCTACATCTCGCTTTTCACGAAGCTCGATTTCACTTGCTCAATCCGCCGACTCTTACTGGGACGAAGAACCTGCGGGCAGTGAACTTGTCTTGAGTCACGACGATAGGAATTCACGTCCCTTGAATGTCGATACCGCTTCTACCCCCGATAAGCTCAGTTTGCCTCTTCATACCGACCACGCATCTCAGTTTCACAACACCTTGGATGGCCCGACTTATCAACAACCTCCAATCCGAATAGGCTTCATCGCCTTTCGGGCCAGTGAAGGCTCTCGTCATGAACTTGATTACGTCTTAGTGTCGACTCCTGCACCCACGGTATCTGACTTCTCTAACAGAGTTGTTGTACCCCACGGATACGGATACAGATGTGTCAGCGTTTGTGACGTGGCATCGGCCAGTCTTGAAACGAAGGAAGTCTTTCTGATAGGGGACGCCAATGTAGTCCGCAAAGGCTTCCTTGTACCTGGTACTACTCTGTTTCAGAACCCAAACTTCAACACAGTTCAAAGGCTCCAGATTGTGCAGATTTATGAGGGTGAATTCACTCAGGGTGACTCCGGTACAGCTGTCATAGACCAAAAATCGGGCGTCTTCTACGGCCACGTCATTAGAGGATGCCCGGGTAGCGAAACAGGCTACATTGTTCCAGCCGCCGAAACCTTCCATGATCTATCGTCTATGGGATTATTTCCTGAACTGAAATTCGAGGACATAAGTGTTCAGAATCACAATCGACAGAATAACACACATCAGGCATTAGCACACGGCCTCAAGGCCAGAGTCACGATGAGAAATGCATCAACTCAGACAGAGTGGCGGCTACTGCCGACACCTCCGAAATCCAATATGAGCCGGGTTCCCATCAGTATAAGCCATTCACCCTCAGACTCCGTTATGCTGATGGAAGAGCTTGCCCGAGTGGGCGATGGCATTGATGATGATATCTGGGCCTCGTTTGTTGGCCCTTATGAACAACGGTCCTCACACAAAACCAACTTCCTTCGTGATTTTTGTCGAGGAGCTACAGTCGAGAATTTGAGTCAAATTAACTCCCCTAGTCTGAACATCTGGATGGATCAAAGGGGATACAGGAAGCAAGACACTTCGCCTCGGCCGAAAGTTATGAGCGCCGACCACCTGCTCAGAGTGTTGAAGCATAAGGTGAGTGCTACTTTTGACCGTCACTATAGCTGAACAAATTCTCATCGATCTGTAGCGTTCGAATACTGGGCTGCGTGGCATGGACAACGAAAGGCGCCTGATGTATGATCCAATTATGCCATCCAACAATTTACGTTCATGGACTCACTATTTCAGTTATATAACAGACTTTGACCGTTGGGCGGCATTGGTGCTCGCTGCGACAAGTTTCCGGACAGAGCGGCGAGCTCTTAGCGATGGTATATTCAGGCATCTCACATTTCGTGCTCATTTTGATTTTGCCTCAGATGTGAGTTGGTGTATAACCCTCTTCGTTAAAGTACATGGTCTGATATTCTCAAGATGCAGCAAACGTCGTCTGCAAACTTTTGTTTGCAATTCCATCTGCCTTATTTTGCTTGGAGAAGGTCCATTGACATCATGCATGATCATCGAGATAGTGGCGTTTTGACGCCCCTTCGTCAGTGTATTAAGGTCTCCGGCCCCTCTTCTAGGAGTCAAGACCACCTGCAAGACGGGGACATTGGCTTCCTCTATCAGGCCCACGTATCATGCATCGTTCTTGGAAACTATGAGAAAAGTTGGAAAGTGTTCTCCTTCGCCGACGCGTTTTTCAATGACGAATCAAGCTGCGACGCACTGGCCGAGTACGCATCTGAAGATCCAGAAGATTGTCCATTGGACCCCATAACCCTCGGAAGAGCTACCTGCGATCGACCGCTATGGAATCCTCGACTATACTTCTTTCGTGTATTCAGTATTCGTCTACAGTCTATCGGGGAAGAATGGGCGAGCCTCACGCTCCACTTTGAGGGTCAAGTGAACAGACTGGCAAGTCCATGACACCTGCGTGAACAAACTTAGACTATCCACTAACAGCCTCCCCAGCTTGCTCTCAATAAAGAAAAGCGTGCAGGTTTTCGGACAGGAGATAGTGCAATGGACTTCGATTGGCCTCGTCGCACTTGTAGTATTCTCGCTCAATTGTTCTCAACACTGTCTGCCACATTAGACGACGTGCGAAAATACGAGCAGGCATTTGAGCTTTGCTTGAAATTATCAGAAGCTAGCGATTCGTCATATTACATGGAGGCTGGGCTGGACTTGAAGAGAACGTGTGACGGACTGAGCGATTGTCAACGCTCTCTAGGCGCCTTACGAGAGATACTGACTCTAGAACAAGACCATGTACGCATCGATCTGCCCAATCGTCGTAACGTTGTTGCCTTTGATTAACTCGTATATCTATAGGTTCAGACAAACCGATCGCTTCATCTCGCACGTAATCAAAGTAAGGATTTGACCAGACTTTCTTGGGTTACTCTAGTAAGCTATTCCTCCTTCGTTCTCCTCCCGGTGTATCAATCTGACCCGTATCTAGGTGTCTCAACCATTGGTAACGGCTGCGGCCATATTTAGTTGTGGTGATATCGGACTTGCACTGCCTCGAATTTCTCCTCCAATTCTTTTCTTAGCCTTGCTGTTGTGCACCAGTGCAGCCATCGCAGCCATCGTTATCGCGGCTTCACGGAGAGCTTTAAGTAGTTCAGCCGAATCAGGGATTTCCCGGCCGCTTGTTGCCGACATGGGACCACAAAGAGACAGTGATGAAAACGATAATCGCCGTCATTCGCCTTTTTCCTTGCCGATTTTGGAGCTGCCTGCTCTTAGGCGCTCAGATATGTTGGCATTTGCTCCACGTCGCAAAGTTCAGTAGTCACGACCTCAGGCCTAGCAGAGACTTGATTGATTCACCAACAGCATAGTGCACTACCTGATTTAAGGAAGAGAAAGGATTCGGATAGTTCACGAGAAGTCAGGATACTCGGCCAATGACTGAGTCCAACGCATTCACGGCTCAGGGAAATGTATACTTTGAAGTGATCACTAAAGTACTATTAGCATCTACATGCACGGGACTTTAGACAACAACATCAGCATAAGTAACTTTCTTTGAGAGTCATGTCGATCTATGAAAACTCATGAATGTGTATGAACAACAGCTTACGTGTATTCCAATCACATTGATTCTAGCGACAAAGGTTTTGTTCGCCAGAGATTTCACAAGTTTGACCCTTTAAGCTGCACACTTGACAAGACAACCCGCAAATCAACTTCCCTCCCAGGCAAGGTGTGGTCCTCGCGTTTCCACGATTTCCTCATCAGTAATTGCAATATAGTCCCGTTGCTGGACTAAGAATTCCTTGATTCTTCTGACATCCGTCGGCTGGTCTCCTGCGTGGTCTTCTACCAGAGTCCTGAGGAATGCCTGGAGCCGCTCCTGCACCACCTCAACCCTGTACTTAGCCCATTGGTAGTAAAGCTCCGAGTGCTCAGAAATTGGTCGAATGGATGTGAGGACTGAGTCGTCCTTCGTACAAGGATTTCGGGGACGGAAAGATGTGATCATTGTGATACGCTCGGCACCACCGATGGCTGCGAGTGCTTGATGTTCGACATATCTTCCTTGGAGGATGACTGCGGATCCCTGGCAAGTGTCATCACCTACGTCAGAGCCGGAACAAATACAGGAGACTTTCACATACCATCTGCGGGCCCCTGACCTTGAGAATTTCGCCCGTTCCCGTCTTGATAGCTGTCTCCCCACCTACCATGTTCGTCGCATCACTCATCATGACAACACACACGAAAGGAAAAGCATCATAATGCCATTTTGTAACGGAGGTGTTGTCCCCAGCATTCATCTGGGTGTTTTCCTGGTCGCCGGTCTTGCTCTGTACGGAGATGTTGATGTTGCCAACTTCGTACTGGATGTTGGGAATGAGATCCACCCCAGCGACTTGGGAAATGACAGCCAAAGTCTTCGGATCGTTCCAGGCTTGGTTCATGAACGGCGCGTACCTGCCTCCTATGTGAGCTCTGCGATAACTTTTGACTCGTCTCAATAGTGAATAACATACTTTGGGCAGTGGCCACGCAACTGACAGGGCGCAAACCTGGTGCTGTGAAGGCAGTTCTCCCAGACCTCGGTCGTGAAGATCTCTCGTCTCATGTGCTGGATGGCCTCTTCAGTAAAGAGAGGGAACGGCTCCGAGCAGGCCACTTGAGAGATTCCAATATCCTCGGGCAGAGAAACATCTTTGAGAGACAACTTCTTGGGATCGTTGACGAATGCAAGATGCTTGTCCGGGTTGAATGTTTCGGGTTTGGCTGGGGCAGCTGGCTTCAGGTTGTCCTTGATGATGGGCGTAAAGCTGAGCTTTGCCAAAGGGGATCGAGTTGCGAACGCGATATCAGCCATAGCTGTGTTTACAGTTAATGAGTCGGGGTTTATGAGTTCTTGTAAGTAGAGTAATTATGGCAACACAAATGTTTCGATATGTCTTGATAGCTACGATATTCTCTTCTCACCATAACGAAGGCCTCTTGATATAATTAAGAACTCAGAGGTGTGATGCACAGCTCATGTTTCACAGGCACAACGTTAGCACAGCCATCGCCGACGGTGTGTGTGCCGCCTCGAGTTAGTTGGGCATCAGGCCGCCTGACAGTGCCTCCGAGCCAAAAAAAAGATTGTCGATATCTCATCTAGGGCTAAGCAATGCATGCGTTCACGTGTGCCTCGTTTCATCGTTGTGATTCTAATCTTTTCGAGTAAGAAAATCCGCGATATCTGACATGCAACCATCTCGGCTTCTCATCATTGAGTGCGATGTTCACAAAGAAGCCGATCCGAGATCGCACCCGATCCCTGTCACCCGCGCCCCCGCTTGCGGCTATTAGTCCCGAGACTTGCTTGTCCCTCCGAACCCCGCACCGAAGACGCGCTTGGGTGTCCGGCTCTCATTTCAGTTCCCCTATCAAGACAGTATGTGGGACGTGGCACCGATGAACGACTACCGGTGTCATGAGACGATAAAGATGAATCCTGTCAACTTCCTGGGCGAAATGCCGCGAATAGGAGATCGCTTCATCTTACACAGGTCCTTGAGCATCGATCGTTATCACCTCGCCCATTGACTTCCTGTCTGATATTCCCTCACAATGTCTTCCTTCGCATCCTCTTTGAAAGACCCTAGCCTCTTTGTCGAGAAGTCGTACATCAACGGTCAATGGACGTCGTCAGATTCTGGCAAGACCTTCCAGGTCACCAACCCGGCAACAGAGGAGCTCATCGGAACATGTCCTGAGTCAACCATCGGCGACCTCAATAACGCCATCGATGCCGCAGCCAAGGCATTTCCTGAATGGAAAGCATTATCCGGCCGTCAACGAGGCCGTATCATCGGGCGCATCTTTGACCTCTTAGTCGACAACCAAGCAGATCTCGGCAAGATTATCACCGCCGAGAACGGCAAAGCAAAAGGGGATGCCGAGGGCGAGGTGATGTTTGGGGCGAGCTTCTTCGAGTGGTACGGCGAAGAGGCCGCTCGTATCTACGGAGACATCATTCCCCACAGCAACCCGACTTACAGAACCCGGGTCATCAAAGAACCTGTCGGCGTCTGTGGCTTGATCGTGCCTTGGAATTTCCCTCTAGCGATGGGCGCTCGCAAGGTGTCAGCAGCTCTTGCAGCTGGGTGCACTGTTGTCATGAAGTCTGATGGACTTACACCGTTCTCTTCAAACGCGCTAGCTGTGCTTTGCGAGAGGGCTGGCGTACCTCCTGGAGTCTTCAACGTTGTCACTGCACTAGAAAACACACCTCATCTTGGGCTTGCTCTATGTGAGTCAGACGTCGTGAAGAAGATATCTTTCACGGGCTCGACAAGAGTTGGCAAGTTGTTGATGCAGCAGTCAAGCAACACCCTTAAGAAATTGAGCCTTGAGCTAGGAGGCAACGCGCCCTTCATCGTGTTTGATGATGCAGACATGGACATCGCAATTTCCAGCGTTCTTGTATCCAAGTTCAAGGTCACTGGCCAAACGTGCGTGTGCGCCAATCGGATTTTCGTGCAGGAGGGCATTTATGACAGGTTTAGTCAGAGGCTGGTGGAGGAAGTCAGAAAGTTCCGAGTTGGCAACGGCACAGACGCGTCGGTCACCCACGGACCCTTGACCAACGGCGTTGGCAAGGTTGAGGAGCATATCAAGGACGCCGTCGCCAAGAACGCAAAGATCTTGCTAGGCGGCAACCGATTACCATCAGCCGGCAAGAACTTTTATGAGCTCACCATCCTCGGAGACGTCGACGACTCGATGAAAGTGACACAAGAAGAGACGTTTGGTCCTCTTGCGGCTCTAACTAAGTTTTCAACTGAAAAAGAGGTCATTGAGAGGGCTAACAAGTCTGAAGTCGGACTGGCATCATATGTCATCACGAACGACCTAGCCAGGTCAACCCGAGTATCAGAGCTCCTAGAGTTCGGTATGGTTGCCATCAACACTGGTGTCATCTCAGATGCTTCTGCGCCGTAAGTAACCGTGATTCGAATCATCTATACATGAAATCTAACACTTACTAGGTTTGGAGGTGTCAAACATTCTGGCTTTGGCCGGGAAGGCAGCAAATATGGACTCGAGGACTACTTGACGATCAAGATGATCGTGACCGGCGGCATTAGCACGCGTCTATAGTAGGTTGTGACAAGTTGAGTGTGAGTTTGACTGTCAAATGGACTGCACGCTGAGAGTCAACATGAAAGAAAGCCAAAGATTTTGACATGGTTACAATACCACTCATGACCATCCGGTCACATTCTCAATTTTGTGTATCGCTAGAATAAATCTTCAATCCGCTTTAATGCTCGTTCCATTGCAGTCCCTCAAACAAGGTGCAGGGTTCCGTTGTTATTTCCTATCCTCTCATCCAAGTTGACAGAGCTGCGCACCCACTGGCCGTTGCGGGACAGCTCGGCCTCGAGGACCTGGCCGCCCTGAACCAGACGGGCATCCCGCGCCGAGGCGCCGAAGTTGCCGCCGGAGTTTCCACCGCGGCCGGGGATCTGAAGGACCTGACCGGGCCAGATCTGGTCCGGGTTGGGGATATTGTTGTGTCTCGCAATCTCCTCGAATCCCACGTTGAATCTCGCGGCAATGTTGCGGAGAGTATCGCCCTGCTGGACGGTCACGGAAGAGTCACCGCCACCGCCACCGCCAGAGGACCAACGGAAGCTGCCGTGGTCGTTCTCGAGAATTCTGTTCAAGCTGATGGTGCTACTCTGCCACTCGCCATCACGGCGTTTGCAGGAGGCATGGAGGTTGTACTCTCCGTGGGCGTCGAGACGAATGTCTCTAGATGAGCCAGTGAAGCCACCGCCGTAGTTTCCACTGCGAGGCTTGTCGTCACCATGGCGATCGTCGTGGTGGCCGTGGTGATGGTCCTTGGGAGGAGAGTGAGGGCGATCGTGGTCATGCTTTTGGTCGTGCTCGTGCTTCTTCTCCTCGTCCCGCTTGTCCTTCCAGTCGGACACACCATCTTGCAACTTGTGTCCGGCGAAAGCTCCCGCAACAGCACCGATGAAAGTGCTGGTCTTGCTGTGGCCGAAGTTACCGCCAACCTTGTGACCGCCGAAAGCGCCGGCGGCACCACCGGCGAGAGCACCGGTCAGACCACGCTCGCCGTCCTCGCCCTCCGGACCATTGGATCCCGGCGGGCCGTCATTGCGGAAGCCCTGGTTGCCGTAGTTGCCCTGGTTCTGGTAGGGAGGGGGTCCCGGTTGGTGTTGAGATTGGCCGTAGCCTCCTTGCTGTTGTCCGTATCCTTCTTGGCCGTACCCATGTTGCGTGCCAAACTGCTGCTGACCTTGCTGGCCTTGGCCATAGTATGAGCCGGCCTCACCAGAAGGTGGACGGTCTTGTTGGTAGCCGCCTTGGTGATGACCACCCTGTTGCTGGAAGCCTCCTCCTTGTTGGTAGCCACCTTGCTGGTATCCACCCTGCTGGTGTCCACCGTTGTTGCCGTAGTAACTCATGATGATTGGTTTTGTTACAAAAAATACAATTCGAACTTGGGTATTATGTTGATGATCAGAGATGTCTCAAAATCAGATGCAACCAGATAGAAAGCTAAGATGCGGGGAAGCGAAGGTTATATAAACTTCCTTGAGCCTCCAACAATGGGGTCAACGAAGCTTGTGATACATGTACGGATCTCCGTACCTAAGAATATTTACACCGCCGCCATGGTGGGGTGAGGCTTATGAAAGTCTCGACTCAGAATGTCCGCGCGTATCCTCTCTCTCGATCCAATCGGGAACACCGCGTCAAGGTTCACGGCCCACCGCGCAGACACAGCCCCGGGAGTCGGCACGGCTCTTGGTATGTAAACGAACACGTTAAAGTCTGGGCACTCTCGGGCCCTTGCCACGTAGCTTGTTCTGATGTTTCTAAAAGCTTCTGAACCAGGCCAAACAGACCCAGAGGGATGCACAATGGGACCATCAGGAGCCAAACGAGGCCCGCCACAAAGCCCCTGATTGTCTGTCAGGGCCCCCTTAACAGCGCCACGACGAGCTCTTTGCCCTGCATCTCAAGATGATAGGACCCTGCTGCCGCCCCGGGACCCCTTCCCCGCACAGTGGCTGGAGAGCAATGGCGTCAGAGGCCTTGAAAGGTATTATCCGATGTTGTTTACGTAGGGACCAGCCGAAGCAGTGGCAATTAGAAGCCACCGCAGTCATCGGCATGCAGTGCTCGGTACAATGCTTGCCTGTGAGGTATTCGCATTCAACAATTACCAAGAGCGCAGTGTAGCTATGAACGATTCAATCGTGCGAGTGCGAGTCCGATTTCCGGACCTAAACACCTCGGAATTGTGTCAAGAACAGCGTTGCAGCCCGATATGTACACAGTACTGTATTCATAAACAAAAGGTTGTAAACTAAACCCGAGGACTCCGGGACGCCCGACTGAGTTTCATGTCGACCCTCACCAATTGCGCTAGGCGTCTGCGGAGCCCGACCTCATTCTCGTTACCCGCCATCGCCGCCTCGTGTTCATCGACTGCCGGGCGGATCCAAACCAGATCGGCGTGCTCGGGCCTGACGAAATGAGTGCGCTTGAGAATCTTCCAGCCGCAGAACAGACAGATCGCGAGAAAGCCCATGGTGTAATTGCTGAAGAAGATGCCAATATCCCACCGGCCCCGTAAGAAGATGGCATACCCATAGAAGATCTCCACCGCCATAAGCCAGACCAAAGCAACCCAAGTGCCATAAGGCTGGAGATATCCGCGGTAGGGAAGATCGGATCTGTCGAAATTCTGGGCTTTCAAGGCTCGGTAGAAGAAGAGATAGTTGATGCAAATGACGATGTAGGTCACCAAAGTCCCGCCAGTGATGAGATTTGTGAGCCTTTTAAGGTCAACTCATGTCAATGCATGCAGCACGTTGTCATCGGGAAAGGCCGCAGGGAAGACGGATCCTCAACTTACCAAGTCAAAACCTTCACAGAGCCACTGCCCAACTTTAGAAATGAGAGACAAGCAAAGGCGAGTGCAACAAACAGGCAGTAGATGGGAACACCTTGCTTGGTGCACTTTGTAAGAAACTTCGGAGCGTGGCCATTCAATGCCAACCCATAAAGACTGCGAGAAGAGCAGTATACGTAGGCGTTGCCGGCTGAATAGATACTTGTCAACAGTAGAGCGTTGACTAAATGAGGTAGCACCCCAACGTTCATGTTCTTCATGGCAATGACGAAAGGTGAGGCGGCTCCGGTGCCCGTCTCGCCCGAGCTCAGGACACTCAGGAGCGTCGGATCGTTGGCCGGCAAGATAATGCCAACACACAACGCGCCACCAATGAAAAAGAGCCCGAATCGCCAGTACACGGATTTGAAGGCTGCTTTCATGGTTGATCGCGGCCGCTGCGCTTCGCCAGCAACGGTGGCCAGGTATTCAGGGCCGACAATAGTGAAAGCGGCTTGCCATAGTGCGGCGAGAAACCCATGGAAGCGGCCCAAGTCGCCATCGTCAATGTACTCAACAAAAGGACCCTGTTCTTTAAGTAAGCGATATACGATACAACATCGACGGGCGTGAAGGAGGTCATGGTGTCATACAGGCTTGGACCAATTACGGAATCCGTATGCATCACGCTGCGGATTACCTCCAACCATAGTGATGAAGGTGAAGAAGAACAGTATTCCAATGAGGAGAAGTTTACCCCCTGCGAGCCAAAACTCTGTTTCACCAAAGTACTTGACCATGAGTGCATTGCAAAGGCTGACCGGGGGCAGTTTAGTACTAGGATATCCTTCGAGTCCAACTGACAAGATAGTACATACGCGTAGAGCACAATGCAAACGGTAATAACCGCAGCTGAAGGGATGTCATCTCTCCAAAAGGTCAAGACCATGTCCAAAGCGGTGATCTCAAACGGTATGAGAAGCGCTTCGAACAGGAAGAAGTTCCAGCCGATCATGAAACCCCAAGCATCATCAACCCAGGCACTGGCGTGATGAATGAATGCAGCGCTTATGGGCATGAAGACGGTCATCTCCGCAAGTGAGTTGTTGACTTGGGCAATAACCAAGGCGTGGAGCACGAATGCAATGAGTAGACTTGCCGCTCCTCGCATGAGCCCGTACCCGATACTCACAAATAGGGCAGTCCCAATAGAGCCACCGATAGCTACGAATTGGACTTGTCGGGGAGTAAGATGTCGTTGCAAATGTTCGGGAGTGTGTAATATTTCCCCATTGACAACTTCAGTCTTGTCACTGGTTTTGGAATTCATCTTTGTGACCGAGGCCTTTGGCTCTGAGGTGATTGACGGGGAGCTCATATTGCCCAGCAAAGCAGAGTTGACACAATGCTGATGATGATGGAATAAATTCTGAGATACTTCGGATCTAGAGATGTCTGGAGCAGGTTTGAAAAAGATATGTGAAGTTTGAATGGCAGACGTCTTGGATTAGGGGGCTCCTGAACTTAAGAATACCAGGAAACCTTAGCGTGGGCCATCGAATGTCACTGGGAACAAGGAAGAGATTCAGGACGACCTATCAATAGTTACCCATTACACCCTACCCCGGATTGGTCCCATCGTTTCGGACACGCAATGCTCGGACGCTAGGCATGGTCTCGGGCATGGGTTCAAGGTAATATGCCTGGTTCACCGAGGACTCCACAGTATTCTTATCCGCCTCTCTAACCCCGCGAGAAGGCACGTGGATTGCTCTGGTACCTTATATTTCCTTCAACACTCTGACTTGCAGTTGTGATCAGTGTGGATTCCCGTCTTGGAACTTGTTTGATGGCAGCTTCTCGCGCACTGAATTCCCAAGTTGAAGATGAGCAACCTTCGGCATCGAGCTCCTCCGCCAGAATCTACCGAGAAAGGATTTGCTAGCCTTGTGTGAGGTAAGGAGCTGAGGAAAGATAGAGACGCAGAAACCATCAGGTTCAGCTTTAAACGACGATCGCCTTGTGGAAAGTCCCCATTCGGAAGATCTAGCCGGGAGTGGGAATTGGCTAGTCTCGGGTGACATGGGTCGGGTATTCCGTTGCTGACAACGACCAACAGGTCCGGTATTATCAACCTCGAATGCAGGTGATAGGTACTCGGCGTCTCGGATACTAATGAAAGTCGATGGCTTTAATGGACTCTCTGATAACAGATTCGTGACGTTATGCTTTCGGGGTCCACACCGGATATGGAAGTGTTTTCACTTCGATGCCGAGGCTGATAGCTCACCATAAGGCAAATGGCACAAATACAAGGAGTCTTGACCGATTGTTCTACTCATAGACTGCCTTCTCAGATCAAACCTATTCTCCAACGTGAAGATCATAGAGAGGCAATGCAGGACTCTGAACTCCAAGAGATATCGTCAGCTCTTCGTGCTGCCCGTATCAGCAAAGAGCCGATTGAGCCCCCAACCAAGAAGTGGACAAGTCTCGATCCGGATAGCGCCTTTGAAGTCCAAAAGGTCACCGTCAAGAACGCAGTCAGTCAAGATGGCGACAGAGTCGTTGGATATAAACTGGGCAACATCGCAAAGGTCATGCAAGACGCCTTTGGCCTCGACCAACCCGACTATGGCTTCCTCCTCGCGAGCACTTTCATATTCGAGGGAACGACTCTGAGCCTCAAGGATTTTATCAAGCCTTATGTCGAGCTTGAGCCAGCTTTCGTCCTTAAAGGCCCTCTAAGAGGACCAAATGTCACTGTCGCCGACGTCATCAACGCCACAGACTACGCCATCCCCGCGATAGAGATTATCGACTCCAGGGTACGAGACTGGGCCATTGACCTCCCGGACACTCTGGCTGATAACGGATCAACCGGTGCCGTCATCCTAGGTGGTACACCCCGCCAACTTACCGATCTCACCTTGAGCAACACGAGAGGGATGCTACGTTTCAATGATAAGGAGGTCATGTCGGGCAACACCAGAAACGTGCTCGGAAATCCACTGTCTGCCGTAGCCTGGCTAGCGAATAAACTTGCAAGATATGATGTTGGGTTCGATGCAGGGCAGGTCATCCTACCTGGTAGCTGCCTGCAGGCAGTGCCAATGCAGGAAGCTGGTCGCTGGTCTTGTACGTTTGAGGGATGGGGGACTGTCGAGTTCGATGTCGCTGAATAGATGTTATTGTATCATATTGACAGGCAGGATTCAAGCATATGAAGTCTTCTCGACAGATACTCGTAGAAATTCACAGTTATTTGATCACAGCCAGTATACACGGTGTCAAGGTAATTCACACAGTTCACCTTGCACCGGAACGCCTGAGAAATTTGCCTAAGCGTGACCTGCTGTAAGACTCGTCGTAAAGTTACCGGGCATAAGTTGGCAAAGGACCACCCGCTAAGAAAGATCCGCTCCCTACGAAAGTGGCGATTGTCAAGAAACACAGAGGCACGGGGGTTTGTGGTTGAACTTAGACGTCGTCCAGACATACCCGGAAGTGGTTAGCAAAAAGAGAGACAAACCTAAGATAGTGAACAGATACGCTGTTCCGAATCCTGATAAGTCACCCGACGCCCTGGAAGCCGAGCCGATCCCTGCTCCCGATCCCTGTAAACTAAGTCGGGTAACTAATGTAGCTCAATGCTGGAGACCCAAATCCAATCCATAGCTGTTATCGCGATCGCTTCCAGGGATAGCCCGTGTAGACCCTAAATCTACCAATTTACCGAGTATTTCAGTCCTAATTCCGTAATTGCTACGGATATTTCGACCTGAAAGAATTGGCAGAGGTGCCGGAGTCGAACTTAACTCGTAAGACTAGCTCCAGCTCTGTCAAAATGATGAAGAACTGGGCTTCATCCAGCACCTCTCCTGGCTCAATCCCCGAGAGCCATCCTGTCACAAATCCGGAGGAATTCTCAGCCAAACAATAGATAGCAACATAGGATGACTGAAGGCCCGTTCGCTCTCTGAGAGCCCCAACCACTCACTGAATATGCGGTTGTGGTACCTTGAATGCCAATTCCAGCTGCATCCTCAGAGCTGCCACTCGTTAGCCGTAAATGCTGCTAACAACTGAGCTTACTCCCTAATACTGTTCTGATGATTTTGCGGGGTAAAATGCATGTAACCCCGCCTCTCGGCAAGCCCTGCCTGTCCAGTCCTAGCCTTTAGTCACACGACACTACCGGACACTATCTGATGGGTGGATGGCTGACGTTGTCGACCTCACTGTTATTTTGGCTTCTGTGATACGTTCGATGCCTTGCAAATGAAGTCGATAACATTTCTTGAGTTACAACTTCATCCTCCCAGCCTCTGCATCCAAACTCGCGCAATTTTGCACCCTGGGAAATGTCGCCCGCAAGCAGAGGAACTAGAGACTCCGAGAGACGGAAGCTAAGGCGAACGACAAACGCGTAAATCCCAATCCTTGTACCAATATACTACGGGTGGAAGGGTCCACTGACCATATGCTAGATGTATTAGCTGTCGACAAAGTAAGATCAAATGCTCCGGCGAAGAGCCGTGCGCAAATTGCCAGCGGCGTTTAATGAAATGCGAGTACTCGGAAGGAACAAACGTTACGGTCAATACCGAGAGGTTTGTGAAGGAATTCGAGATCTTACGACTCAAAGTCTGATGAAGTCTCTAGAAGCAGTTCAGGGCGGCAAAGGCGTGTCTCAGAACAACAATCGACACCAGGGAGCAAGCGATCTCGCGGTGCAGCGTTTGGATCCGATGACGAAGACTATAGTGATTAACCAAAAGCTCCTTTTCCAAACTGTGATGGTGAGCTAATTTATCAGTTCCAGATTCTCAGTCAGTCGAGTGTAGGTCATCTCAGTTGTATGACTCTTCCGAGTGCGTGTATACAAGCCCATTCACGTTGCCCTCTACGACTATCAAAAACACCCACAAGAATAAACGTAATTGGAGTAAGTGAAGGGCTGTGATTGAACAGGCAGTCATACTGACAATATAATTGCATGAATAGTTTGGCTGGCTCCATCATCAACATGGTCTTTCACTGCCCGTCTCACCCTAATGATGGCTGAGAGAGTCCAAGTTGAAACCCCATTCAGTGCACCTAGCTTTCTCAATGACGAAATATATCCCTTAAGGTGGAAAGCCTCGACCGTAGATGGACAACCAGACATCAGTGGACTTCCTTCCATTGACCATGCTATCTATCTCTTCAACACCGTAAAGTTCCATCTTGGTCAGAATTATCAACTTATTGACGAGACAAATTTTGTCAAGAATCTAGAAGAATTCTACTACGGCCTGGCATCCAAGAAAGCGGCAGAGTCACCTTTGTGGTTTGTACAATTCCTGCTCGTCTTATCCTTTGGGCAAGCTTTTCTTTCACGGTCAAAGGACTCAAAGGAACCGCCTGGTGCAAAGTTCTTCGTTCGCGCCATGGCGCTACTACCAGAGCCGAACGCCTTGTGGAAAGACAGTTTGCTAGCCATCGAGGTGTTGGCCCTTGCAGGTCTATATTTGTATTCAATTTATCAGAGAGAATCTGCTCAATTATACGTGAGTCTACATCCAGTTTTGTCAAGTAATAATTCATTCGAGCCCCATCTGATTTCCTTTGACAGATAGCTCAAGCAATTCGGATAGCCCAATTGGAGGGTTTGCACACCCAACTTCCTGAGGATGCACTCGGAACTCAAGTGGTCGCTCGTTGTCGCAACCTCTGGTGGACTTTGTATATCATGGATCGACATTTTTCCTGCTCTGTAGGAGTCCCCATGAACACTCAAGACGCGGACATTACCACTGTGCTTGACCCCCCGAGTATATGCTCGCAGCGTGACGCAACGCTTGGTCTCCAAGTCAAACTCTCGCGTTTGCTATCATCAATCATTACTAGTCAGTCCCATCTGTTCCCACAGAGATTTGTACTAATGTTTCGGCTTTGAAGCTATCTACAGGTCCGAGAAGACTCCACTTGGGGAGTTCCTTACTTCGACAAAGTCCATCATTCATGCCTTGGCTGGTCACGCACAGGAGATTGAGAAGATAACTCGATTCAAGTTCCAAAACTCGGTGGATGCCATGCCGAAAGGAACAAGAAGCATTACCTTGCTATACCATCAGGTGAGTTGTTGCTTTATTTTCATTCAGTCATCTTCCGACTGACAATCGTCTTCTTGGAGTGTGTTATCATGGCTACGAGGCCACTTTTTCTATCCGCTTTAAAACAAGAGCTTGAGAACTTTGAATGGTGTGGAAGAGATCCACAAACCTTCTCAGCTCCCTTGAAGACTCTGGTCGAGACGGGCATTAAATCAGCAGTGAAGAGTCTTCAAATTCTGTCCGGGGATGATAGTCTATTAGGTAAGTATGAGTATAATCTGACCGTTTCTTTGACACTACGCACGACTCCAAATAACCGTCAAACCACCAACAGAAGTATTTCTACCATTTGAGTTGGAATATGCTTATGGAGCTGCCATACACTTAACAATGGCCAAGGCACTCTTCCCAGCGGTAATAGGCGACGATGGACTGTCTCAGATAGAACAGACACACAACATCTTAGATGACATGATCAGTAAAGGAAACTTGGTGGCAGAGGTTCGAAAAGCAGAGTTGGTCCATCTGGAGACTTTGTTTCGCAAATTCACGCGGCGGGTACGCGACCAAGACTTTGAAGACCGTATCCACTCACCTACTACAAGGCGTCAGTACAACCGTCTCCAGCCTTTCTCTCGTCTCTCGTCTTTTTCTACTTTCCTCTCTATCTCTGCTCTTAAATGGGAAGGATTGAAGGAAATAAAGCCAGACAGATATGATTCGTCCTTATCCTTTAGGAAACTACGCACATATGTACTGACGCCATCTGATAGTTAGTGGGATACCATCGGGCTCAATTGAAGCAGTCATCGATCCGATCATAACTCAAACTTTTGTCAGCGAACCTGACTTGGTGTCTACGACGACGGTGAGTGAGTCGCAGCCGCTCGCGAGTGTATTTCCGGATACACCAGATAACACCGAGTTTCTCGAGACTATCGGTATCTCTTCGGATGACTTCCTTTCAATCGTGGAACAGATGGGGAATGAAAATGATGTACCGTTCTCAATGTTGGATTTAGGACAATTTTGGAAGTGATCAGTGGCGCGCAGAAGGCAGGAGCTTCTATGTTTGCTGGTGGACATCACAACGGGTCAGACTCTGTTGAACTACTTCCACAGTCTCATTGTATAACACATTATTGAATAACACCATCTTCATCATTACAAAGGCCCTCGATCGCTATAACTTGAAGTCTTCGTTCATTCCGTCTTTTTTTCGTATATTTTGGTTAATTACCAACCCGTGTGGTAGTATCCGTCCCAATTTTGATGATGCTGAACGTGGGGCTGTTGCATGTTAACTGGCTGATACACAGGGCTGTGTTGGTATCCAGAGTTCTGCTGCCACATAGGCGTTTGTACCTGCCCAGGAGTCGCTGGCGAAGATAACGTTGTGGATACAGACATTGCTGACATGGTAGAGGCGTGCTTCATGTCGTACATCGAACCTCTGTCGAGGAGAGGAACTCCCATGTTCTGGTCAGGTTGCGTGACATGGGTCGCGTGGTAGTCGGCAGGCATATGGCCTGACAGACCCTCCTCAAGTCCGACTAAGTAGCCAGTCAGTAACGTACGTAAAGAGCAGCATCCCGTTGTAGACTTACAGATTAGTATGTACAGCAGCTCAGCCATGACTGGTACCCAAGCTGCCAGAGCAAGAACTTGTCCAAACGTCCACTTATCGTTCTTGTCAATGCCATCAGCCGCGTTGATGATCTTCTGGCGGAAGTGAGTAAAGTAGCCTAGTATGCCCCACATGACCAGCAGGTTGATCCAGGCGACCAACATTCGCCAGCAAGACCTCCATCTCTTGACCCAAGGCTTATCGATCATGCCGGGAATCTTAAATCCAGTGGTAACAAACAGTGTTAGGAGGAGCCATATCATCGGCAGCGCAATGACCAAGAACTGAGTGGCTTTGACGACGGGCCAGTACTGCGAGCCACGTTGATCGCAGTCAAAGTTTCTGTGCCCACTCTTTCGTTCCTTATAATCTATCTCCGCCCTTGGCGCCAGATACACCACCGTCACGCTCAAACCCCAGAGGAGGCCAAGGACAGATCGATGAAGCCACTTGCGATGGCCATCGTGCTTGGCTAGCGCGTAGAGCAACATGACCGGAAACACAGAGTAGTTGGACGCGATCAGTGCCAAGGCTTGCTCGTAAATCGCATCCGCTGATGGGAGGTCGGGGTTGATCTCCGATCTCTCCTTGAAGTTTGTAGCGGCCGAGTAGACGGAAGCTCCCAACATGGCCACTGCGATCAGCATTGAGCCGCTGAGGAACATGTCGAGCGATCCGCGGAACGAGTCAAGAATGCGACCGCTCAGTCTTTGTTTTTGCTTCGGTCGCGTCTTCTCCCAGAGGTTCTTGTTGAAGTGGCGTCGTACTTGATGAATCGTGAATGCGACAAGGTACATCGTTGCTAAGATGGCTTCGAGGTAGTAGGATACCACCACCTTCACGTTGTTAGTCAAAAGATCTTTGCACAGCATAGCGACTTCAGGCGTTCTGTTCTTACTCCGATACCGCAGAGATCTTGGCTTCCTGTATATCCGACGGCTTTGCAGAAGTCGGCCTCACAATGCTCTTTTGGACCCCATAGAACGGTTTCATTGAATCGTGTGCTGAAAAGATAGTATGTGGGATCGCTCGAGTTTTCCGGGTATGGTGTATGATACATATTGTAGGCGAACCAATATGATACGTCGGAGTAGGTCGTCTCGTATCCCTTCGGCATAGCCGTCGAGTACAGTGCCATTGACAGCTGAACACTCATTCCTCGAGTCGACTTTGGATCCCATGGATCAGGTTGAAGCATGGCAGCCAGCCATTGACCCCAGTTCGTGCAGTTGCGGTTGAAGTCCAGTTGCTCCCAGGTCAAATTCCCAGAGCCTTTGACCTCCGTACCCGGAACCCATAGGTCCATGGTCTCGGGATCGTAGGAGCTCATTGTCGAGTGGAGGCGGCGGCTCTCACGCCTGTTCGAGGTATCTCTTCACGACAACTGAACGTAATGTGCAAGAAACTGTGGATTCGAGTGGGGGACAAGCAGCCATCCATGGCGCGGGGCACAGAGACATTCTTAAGGCTGGCATGATCAGGATATTCAAGTTGCTGCCCATCCCGGCGGCCACAATCTCCGTCTAACAGCCGCACTCTTTCTTTATCGTGGGCGTTTGAGAATGGGCTCTGAGAATGGGCCGGTTCGACGCAGCTGAGCGCCAGGGCTGACAGCTAAGACAGATAAGGAACGAATCATCGCGACTAAATTACTACGCGGGATGACTAGCGTAAGCCACCATCCCCAAAGCGACTTACGAGCTGCCACTCGTAGCATGTTTCCAATAAGGCTGGCCATTCACTGCATTCTCAGACCGCCATCTCGCTTGCGAAATCTCCGCTAACGGGGGTTGGGCAGGGAGCTGTGGGAGCTAGACGTTGGGGGCCGGGGGAAGTTTGTTGTTGCCTACGGCTAGAGCTCGGTCTTTGATTCAGAACCGCTCTTCGGGTCGCTTTTTGCGGTCGCAATGGGCGGGAAAGAGTCTTACTTGCCCGGCATGACATTTCCATTGTATTGAGGGATTATCTCTGTCGATCCATGAGGCTGCCAATCTTCATACTAGCCGCGATGCTGTGTCTGTACGTGTCTTTGCCAGTTGGATTTCCTCTTGATACTGACACCCTTCTCTTGCGAGTACTTGCATCCGGCGAACGGGCAGAAATAGCCCTCCGTGTCCGAATGCCGCTCTTCGCAGTGTCGCTTGAGGTCTTTTCTGTATCGGAAAGCCCAAGAACAGTCTCCCGCTCTACACTTGAACGGCTTCTCATGCTTGATCTTACAGCGACTGCGAACAGGTCAGCAACGACCTTTTCTTCAAATGTCGGCAGTCTGAGGTTGACATACTTCACCTCCCAAAGCCTTGCGTAAACATTCCCACACTCGTCGCATCGTAGTTCAGTTGGCTCTGTGTCTTCGGTGCTCTGAACAGTGCTGGGGGCGATGTGTTCCACGCCTGACTGGCTGCCATGCTCGCGATCTTCTTGGTATTGCTCCAGTAGAGACGGGCTTGGGGCAGGTGCCCCATATTCCGGAGATGAACTTGGCTCATTGTTACTCTGCTCCCCATCCTGCTCAACAGGCTGAGGTAAACTTGACGATATACCCCAGTCATAGTCACCTAGCGGCCCGCCACTTCCGGTCTTTACCCACGACGGATCTACGGTCTCAAAGCGATGATTATGATGTTCTCTTGTTTGACCGGTCGAGCCTCGCGAGGTCGAACTAGATATGTAGACGGACTACCAAACGAGTTGAAGGAGTGTTTAGCCTGTTGAGAAAATCTGACGGCAAGAGCAGAGTTTCTATGGCCAAGAGGGGAGAGCTAGAAAAGAGGTAAGGAACGGACGGCGAAAGTTGAAAGAACGAGTGGCATAGCACCACCGTGCCGGCCGTGACAAGAAGAGTGAAAAGAAAGTGAGTCCTCGAGGGAGGAGAGCCGTTTTATGCTCAAGAGTGCGTTCAGAAAGCGGCAAGTGCTCAATGGCATGGCAATTGAGTTCTGCTGGACCATCCATGTCATTGGTCCAGAATAGCTGTAGGCCTCAACTCTAAATGAGGCACCATCTCTCATCGCCCTGCAGCCCGAAGGTATGCATTGCGCAGGCTTCACCCGATAACAATTTCTGAGGCAGTAGACATCAGGCTATCCTGGCTCATGGGTCTGGTCTTACCATCTGGCAGCCTACTTTGCCCCAGGGAGTGAGGACCGCCATCAGCATAGACTCGACTGAACAGTCAGAAGTAAAATTGCTGCTGGTTATGACGAGCTGGAACTCACATGCTTCTGTACCCCTGCAAGCTCAAGTAATGACGTATTATCTTCTACTTGCTTCAGGAAGTATGATGTTTCTATAATTCGGGCGGGAACTATACCACCAGGACCACAATGCGGCGAGAAACGAAGAACCCTAAAGGTGTCATTTATGCACCACCTAAACCGGTGCCTGATCCGCCAACGCCTAGCCTAAAGTCACCCGGCTATGCTAATTGAGGACCAGAATCGTCACTGTAAATGTGAAGAAGGCCATGAGCATGGCTAGTAGCGTAAACGGCCGTTTTGTGTGATCAGCGATCGGTCATGATAGCGTGGGCATAATTCAAGGCTGACTCGGAATAATTGAGCTACTTGGTATAGCATCTCGGCCTAGCTTTGCGCCATGGCTGAAATGAAGCCATAGCTACTATAACTCTAAAGGTAGGTTGAAAAGAATGGCACACGATGTGGCTGTTTCATTAGTCGGGCGCTAAAGTAGGCTATTATCCGTCACATCTTCAGTCAAGTCGAAACTAAACATGCAGTTGAGATGAGAACTGCTCTATCCGTGATGACTACCTTTGCAGGCCGAATCTGACAAGTAGAGGCTGTCAATTTCTCGTTCTACCACAGCTAGTATGAGAACCTCTCTCAAAGCGAAGACTGTATTGTCTGAAGCCAACACCGGACGAGGGCTCTCCTGAACACAGTATCAGTTTGATGCGAACCTTTCGAGCATTCAAAGGCACATGGAGTAATATTCAGCCCTTAAGACCGGCATTCAAAGGCTTTTAGCTCCTGGATTTGGCAAGGTATCACGATGGATCCTTTTGCTTCGGCTGTCAAGAAAACTGCAATGAACCATTCCTATGTCTTCGGCCACATGAAAGCGAGCATGATATTCGAATTGAGAAAGGTGAAATCCTCGCATTGCGACACAAGTTCCTTGTGCTGCAGAAACGGTTGACAAAGAACACTAATGGGCTTTCTCCACGAAAGTTCTGAATCTGTGCAGACAGGTCTTTCTACAAGGGTCATGATCAGAGAGCATTGTCTCACATCCAACTGTCACAAAGTATTTGTATGATATCTTCAAAGTCTAGTCCATGACCATGAATGCTAGTGTCCCTCAGTCAATTTGAACTACATGATAGAAATTGAACTCGACAATCTACATAATCCTAGCAGCTTCCTACATGAAATATCTCCCTACTTGAATAACATCAACATCGCCTCCTTACAGAAGTTACTTCAATCACCGTGACTCTCACTTGAAGCCCATAACTTCTCAACTGTCGCATACATCCTCAAAATGGCGCCTCATGCCGAAGACTCTTCATCTGCCGCTGAATACGCCGAGCGCGTCTTCCAACACCTAGAAGACAACCGCCCCTCTGACGCACCTGCCGATTTCTCAGATCCCCAACCAGAGAAGCCCAAAGCCACTCAGCGATCGAAGACTGAGGAGATCAAGGCCCAGTTGATTCAGCGTAACAACGATGCCTCTGTTGAGTCCCACTCTCGTTCCATATCTGGTAAGTTCCGCCTCCAACACATTGGGTCCTTCGGCGACGGTCGTGTAAAGGAGCTCGTTGCCAACTACGAAGCTCGATCTCACCGTACCGAGGAGTCAGCTAAAGAATCCGATCGACGCCATCGTGTACTTGCGAAGGATACCGATGCCGCAAATGGTGACGAAAGTGAGGAGGATGAGAAGGGTTGGATCAAGGTCGTTGATGCGGACTTAGATTGAGTGGAAGGCTATCCTAATGCTTCTTGACAATGGTTTAAGCATTCGAGCTTCTGGAGTTTAGTTGATTTGACTTTTAATCATTCTAGAACGTAGAGGGATTACTCCCAGTTTACTTGAGAATCCGCAAGCTTAGTCACGGCGACAAGAGGCCGGAGATTGTATGTGATCTCAATCTCTGAATAGCTGTTGTGGAAAAGCCTTGCCTATCTACTCCTCCTAGGCTTTCTAAAACTTCTACCCCATGTGCACTACTCTAGTTTTGCCCACTGTCGTCTCTGCGGAATATGTATTTCTTCGGTCTCAGTTTGATACACCGGGCGTCGTATCTCAAGGGACCAGTCAGACAAGCAGAAAAGCATGTAAGCATGTTCTTCTTCATACTCTGCAGCTGACGTCGACGCACTCTGTTCTCTCTATCAAGAGAGCTCAAGGTACAGATCATGTAAGTTATCTTCAGAAGGTGAGAGAATTGAGGCATGCCGAAATTGTAGGATATCTAAACATGATGTCAGAAGGATTGACTTTACCTTACTCACTAGCCTGGCGACCTTGTACTTGAGACCCTAGACCCTTAGCTGACATTGATTTGAGACGACAAACCACAAAGGGCTTATGCTTGGTGTTGTTAGACAACAAGGCTGCTCAAAGAATTACGGGACACAGTGTAGGCCCCTTTGTCTGTTGTCTGATATATGCCTTTCCTAAGGTAAGCATAGCTGCCTGTCTCATTTGCTGTCTTGAAGCTTCCTATGGCTTCTGGGGGGATCTTGAACATGGCTTGATTGTATACCGAGTACTATATAGAGCAACCTTCCACCCGGAACTGGTTTGGGAACGTCAAGTGGACTTGCTACTCTTGTAAGACGTATTCCCAAATTCGAGAACCAGGCCGTCCACAATGGTGCAGCCCAACAATGACGAAGACGACTACGTCTTCCCTGAGACTACCGAAGTAAACAACGACGAACACGACCATCCCCTAATTGTCATCAATAATCCAGCTTCCCCAATGTCCACCGGCTGGGCGATACTTCGGAACTCTGATAGCTCCTCCGATGCCACATCTGAGCGCATCGATATTAAAACCTCACCCGATCGGTCTCTACCAGCTCTTCATCACCGCACCTTGTACCCTGAATTAGAGAGCTGGCTACGTCCCGCATTGTCTGCGACTATCCCTAGACCACTCCCAGCCCCAACGTCCCAGGAGGCACTCCATGAATCCGAGCCCACGTCCTCAGCATCCCAACTTTTCGACTCGGCGGCTCGGAAGCCGATTGACGGGGAAGGTCGCCCAGCTCGAACCTTGAGCGGCGTGAACACGATTTCCTCGGAAGCCGGCCCCTCGCGAAGAACTCCTCACCGAATTGGCTTATCGACTGGAGATCTTCGTGAACAGGTTCTGCACTCCAACCGAATTTCCAAGCAGGACAAAGCTTTGGCTAACGAGCAATACTATCGACAGCTACTCCGATCCCGCTCCGTCCGATCCAACTACCGCGTGCGCGACCTCAGAGAACATGCCGGCAAGGTTCCGGACACCGAATGGCGCTGGTGCGGCTTCCCAGGTTGCGACAACGGTGCCTGTCGATACAATTTCCTTCTGTCATGGGGAACCGGATACGTCATCACCCCTCTTGATTCAGGGAGAGACTGTGACATTCTGAAGGATCTTCTTAACGCCTTTGGCTCTCAGAACTGGAACTACATGGCGGAGCCCCATAGCCGGGTTTCGTTTGCAACATCGCCTCCTGTCAGGATCGCCGTTGGCCAGTTTCTCATTCGCTTCAACCATCTGCAGGGTGCCGCTGGGGGGTGGGACAGGGGAGACTATCAAGCAGCAGTGATGTATTTCACCGACATGCGCACCAAGAACTTTCACGTAATGCATCCGCACAATATCAAGAGGCTTCACAGCGAGATGGACAAGGAGCTCTCGCGTTCGGACTCTGCTGTTGCCCCATGGCGTCTGTTTCTTCAGTTCATCATGCACCTCGAGGCATGGAGACAGCACCAGATCAAGCAAGGATATCCTTGGGACTGGCCTTTGTACGATGCTCTCGATATGTATCGAACCATTCTCGAGACCTATCGACAATCCATTGGCAAGGGTTTCTCGACTCTGAAGACTGAGGTGCAGGCAGAGCAGGACAATGCTTGGGTGCTCTGGTGGGATCGTCACCGTCCCTGGACCAGCTGTAAGGTTGCCTTTCTTTCTGCCCTCGAAGATGCTAACAATATTGACAGAGATAGGAGATTGGAAGTTGATCCAGGAGGGAACATTGTTTCCGATGCGGTGGTCTATGAAGGTGTGGGACAGTACAAGCCACATTGGTGGCCAAATTGGCCAAGAGCGCCTGGGTTGGACGTATCTCTAGAGCTATGAGGTACTTTGGGATGGTAGACATTTGTTGACTTCCTTGAAAAGGCAGATAGTGTTGCTTTTGCAACGTCTCTAGTGGATAACAGAATACTGCTTTCATATGAGGAGACAAACAAGTTTGTCAACACCCAACTTGCATCGTAATCTTTAACAAGCTATATTGATTCGTGATGTTGATTGGGTTTACCTTTGTCCAGGCACCCTTCACCTTGTTGTGTTTGACTATTAGAAATCACTCCTGTTGGTCGTCTCTTTGTTATTTACCCTTTTTCCTGCCAAGGAGCGTAGGGTAGATACAAGGATAACGAGAAGCTTCTAGGGTCGAGAGGTGGAAGTAGCAAGCAAAGGAGCTGCTCCTCGTTGATACTTTGAACTGAGGATCTCCTGGAAGCGCCTTCCTTCACACAGATGGACCTGGAGTGACCCGCATCACAGGAGTCAAGCCGCACTTCCTCTCAGCTGCGGGCCTTGGGGCATGCGACTTCTTCGAGACGAAGGGGCGGGCTGTTGCTCAGAAACAAAATAGAACTCTCTTGCTGTTGAAGAATACGAACAAAACTTTCCTCCACAACATTCTTTTTATTTTCTTGACGTTACTGGAAAAGAGAAACTCCAAAAGTTGCAGCCCAACCATCACCATAGCCACTCAGCGAGGGCTCTCATCTGAAGCAGAAGCCTCGAAAAAAAAAGATCCCAAGATGGCGTCCTCCTGCCTCCAAGAATTTCCTCGCGCCTCAGGCTCAGGCGACGACGGCGGACCGGCGAGGAAGGAACCCGAATCATTCTGCTGCCAGCTCGCTACTTCCACTCCCATCACTCACCCCGAAGAATTCGCCAAACTCCTCGATCTCATCGTCAATCAATCCAAGGAGAAGAATCCTGCCGCTGGCATCGTCTTCGCGTTTCTCAACTTTCCGAAGAGCAACTGCCTGTTCCCCCTGGCCTGCCTCGTCCACTTCTTCGAGACATTCGTTCCTCAACCCATCATCACTTATCTTACGAGCGACTCTTGCCTCAGTGCCGCAAAGAGCATTGATACCATCCTCATGGAGGCCGAGAAGTCAGAGCAGGGACTTTACAAGGACACGAAGCGCAGCTGCTTCCCATCGACCGGCCGAAACCATTTCCTCCGCCTGATGAACGCATCTGGTCCCATAGTATGTCATCTCTCAAGTTTCCCTTCCACCCCAACACCTCATTTCCTATTTATCAGACTAATCTTCGTCGCAGCCCAAGGGTGAAAGAAGTGCAGCTGGTGCCACTCGCAGAGGCCTTCCCGAGCTCGACTATATCCTCTTCCAGGAAGATCTTCCTTCTTATTTCGATCGTTCCGAGCGGTATGATAGCTTGCCCGGCGACCCAGTGAACTACCTCTTCTCGGCTCTGCCGCAAATCCAGGAAGATGACGCAGGCTTCAAGGGAAGCAACAAGTCTGCAGATTATAACCGCCGGTTCGCCCTGGCCCTCTGGCCTTATGCCAACTCCAGCATCGAGGATATCATCGCCAAATCCGACGACAAGGCTGCCTCTGACTTGTGGTGGGCCGCGCGCTTCGCTTTCTCTCTCTGGGATAAATCCGACTTGTCTATTCGATGCTCCTTCGCCCAGCTTCTTGGCGAGATTGCCTTGTACCACAACTCTGAGATTGTCGATAATCCTGCCCCTGTCAAGCCAAACCACCTTTGCGAAGCTGTTGATGGTGGCCCCTGTCCCGGAGAGGCATACGTTCAGAAGCATAAGTGGTTGAAGTATGCCCGCTGGATTCATCGTGGAAGAAAAGACGAGGATGCCGACATCAAGGTCCGTCTGGGCAGCAAGTGTGACCTGAACGAGCTATTGAGCATCGAGAAGTGTGTTACCTGCGGTCACGAGCGCAAGATCTCTCGCTGTGGATCGAAGAAGCCCATGCACCACTGCAGCGGCTGCTACGTCGAGTGGTTTCCGCACCTTCGTCGAACTTACTGCGGCCCGAAGTGCCAGAAGAAGGATTGGAAGACGCACTTTGAGGAATGTCAGCGTCACAAGCACTTCATCCGAGCCGTCTGGATTCTGAAGGGCATCGCGGACAAGTTCATGGCCGCGACTTTTTCTGGCCAGGCCGTTGATATCTCCCCGATCGAGGTCCGTGATAACAAGACCAAGGCGCTCGACCTCAACAGCGTCCCCCGCTTCGCCGTCACCCCGGCTGCGTGTGCTGTTGGACCCTGGGTGGGGGAGCAGGTGTTCCCTCTCGGCAAGTCGTACTTGGCGGACAAGAGGAATGAGGACCGCGCGAGAGCATTGGCTTGGGATGCTGGTGACAACCTCTACTACCACCTTCAGACTATCATTCGTCAAATCGTCAGCCGTAAGTATCGCTCTCAGGCCTGTGTCCTCACAGCGTCTTTTTGTCCCGTTCATCTCATTCGGAAGACGAACAGTAGTATGAACTAACCGATGGCGATAGCGCTCTGTGACGATGTGGTCGAGATGCAGATGTTCCTGCGCAATGCCAACAGTATTACCTCTCTTGCCGCTGATCGGTGCCGCGAAGGCCCCGCCATCCACACGGCCAAGGGCAAGGATCCGATGTTCTGGCCTCATCCCGTTCTCAATTGTCGGCTGAAGGGAAGCGACGACTTGTTCATCATCGACCTTCTTGGAGCCAAGTTCGGCTTTAACGAGATCCTCCTCCCGGGCGAGGTATGGGTCAAGTCTAGGTACTCCTCCAAGATAGACACGATCCCATTAGTGAAGATGAGGCTGACTAGGAAATGATACAGACTTGCGTACTGCGTTGGCTCAACGGTTGTCACGGACATGACGCCTCACTGGTTTCCCCGCGAGCAGCAGGGTCTCGTCTCTTGCCGTGATGAGGTCGCCTACACTTGGAGATCGTGCATCAAGACGTACATCGCCGCCAAGTGGCCCAACGTCCCCGGACCCTTTGCCTTGTCGCATCTGAAGGAGCAATTGTTCAGGGAGAGGACTTACATGTTCATGGTCCACTCGGACGACATCTTCAGGGAGGCCACCAATCGTCTGCGCGAGGAGAGACTCTTCCGGCAGTACCTTGTCCACGACCCAAACCCGTACTCTCACGAGTTTGTCATTGGCGTCACCAACTGTCAGAAGGAGTGCGATGTCTACGAGAAGATCTGGATGGATCGGCGTGTGTTCGATGTCATCGTCAAGGGTGAGCTCAGCGAGCAAAACCAGCTGCTGCCCACGGGGTCCGAGACCATCCGCCTCGTCGCACTCTGGGTTGACCGGTTGATCAAACACGGTCAGAAGGTCAAGTTTGACTCGGTCGGGCTCCTTGGTTCTCGCATGGCCAAGCACTACAACATCTGCACCACGCACTCGTTGGACGAGCTTCGCGAGATTTCCACGCCCTGGCTCCTGTGGCATGGCATCTCCAAGGATTCATCCCAAAAGTTCTTCGAGCAGTGCAAGGGCATCGTCACCGACTACATTAGTTCGAATGCGGCGACGCCTGATCAGCTGCTTAGTAAAATGGCGTCGTCCGACGGCCTCGCCAAGTACCTGCAGACCTTGTCGATGGAGGATGCGCAAGAGTTCTTGGAGATTGGATCAATCATCGAGTCTCCCCATAACGCTGCATCGATTAAACAACTGCGAAAGGAGCTTGAGAAGCAAGCCGGGGACAAGAAGTGAGGCAGTTCGTGAGATGAGCTCCGTTCGTTTCTTTCTAGTACTTGAGACACAGTCCCTACTGGGTATGGCATGGTAGGGAATGGGACTTGGAAAGCGCGCTTTCGGTAGGAAGGAAACGGTCTTTTTTTTACTTTGCGAAATACCCTTGAGCTTGGTAAATGGAAAAGGAGAAACTGAATCTGATTTCCCGTCTGGTGAGGAATTGAATGAAGCTGAAGTTGACATGGTGAAGCGTCGTCAAACGAATCGCTGTGATTGGCCAATGAGTGCCTACCGTCGATGTGGTGCACGGGCCATATGAAATTTGTCCGACTGGCGATTGAAGCTCGGGAGCTCCAGCAACTTTTTCCCATCACCAGGTGCACCCCCATCACGCCGACAGGACAGACATCTCCTGCTCTCCAGACACGTACATAGCCCCTCAGACGAGCATTGCAGACTTGCCATTTGGATCGATGCTAACGAGCCCCCCCAGGATGCCACCAAGGTTACCACAACAGGCCGCGCGCGCCCTGCGCAGGCTGGCGACGACTTCAACCCCAATCACACGATCCTTCACCACCACGACCTCCTTCCTCGCCGCCCCGGCCGCCGCAAGCCTCCGTCTCCCCGCCGACTACGTTCCCGCGACGAAGCCTCCCTCCGCCCGCCCCCCCGAAACCCGCAAGTCCCAGCTCATCAGGACCTACACCTCCCTCCTCCGCACGACGCCCCTGATCCTCTTCTTCCAGCACAGCAACCTGACGGCAGACGAGTGGTCCGCCGTCCGCCGCGAGCTCAACAGCGCCCTCATCGCTGCCACGCCCGCGGGCACCAACAGCCCCCTCGATGGCCGTGAGGTCCACCTCCAGGTCCTGCGCACGCGCATGTTCAACGTCGCGCTCAAGCTGGCCGAGTTCTACGACCCCGAGGTCGCCAAGGCCAAGGCCGGCACGCGGACGGGACCCCGCGGGCCCTTGGTACACGATCTGAGTATGGCCGCCTACGAGGCGATGAAGGATTTCGAGGTCCCCGAGGACTCGGCCTACGCGCAGATCTCGCCGCTGCTGTGCGGTCCCACGGCGGCGCTGGTCTTCCCCGCCGTCTCGCCCGCGCACCTCGCGGCCGCGCTCAAGATTCTGGCGCCGAGCCCTGGCAAGTTTGCGGCGCCGCCGAGGAAGAAGAACCCGGGGTACTACGAGCCCCTGTGCCAGAGCGCGCTGCAGAAGCTGCTGCTTGTCGGTGGACGAGTCGAGGGCGATGTGTTTGATGTTGATGGCGTCAAGTGGGTTGGTGGTATTGAGGGCGGCCTCGATGGCCTGCGGGCGCAGCTCGTGCATATGCTCCAGAGCGCTGGGTTGGGTCTTACTACTGCCCTTGAGGGCGGAAGCAAGAGCCTTTGGCTGGCGTTGGAAGGCCGGAGGACGCAGTTGGAGGATGAGGGGAAGCCCAAGGAGAGTGCGAGCGCGGAGGAGACAAAGTCCGAGTAGAGGGTTGCTTGGGAGGATGGTGTATGATAGTGCTGTAAAAGTCTGTATTATCACGGGATACGGATCTCTACTATAGAGCTAAACTATTTGTTCATGGCATTGAAGTTGGGAATGACTGTAGTCAGCAGAGTTGCATGTGAATTACTGCCAAGTCATGATTCCCCTGACGAAAGTGAAGTGCTCTTCGTGGTTTCTCTGAGCATCGATAAGCGTCGCGCCGTTTCTTTAACGGAGACCGAGAAGCCTGAATGAACCGCCGTATGGGACCGTTCAAAACGGGCGGAGGCGATGTTAGCAACATTTAGCAAGCCTCCTCGAGATAATTTGAGGCACCACAACGTTGTTGAGTTCTGTGACTGACCATTAGACATTCTAGTGGCACATCTTGTATTGAATAATATTCGAGACTAACAGACTTATAGTTCGTCTCAGCCGCCTCAGTCTAGAGTAAGTTTGACAAGAGCCCTGAAGACGAAAGAGTGAGGTGGACGGTTCGTTCTGACCGGGCCGGCAAAAGGCGGGGCGAGAGCCACTAACAGCGACCGCTGCAGGTGACCTGCATGAACGCGCCGCCGAACCGGAAAAAGACCCCTAATTAAGCCTGGAGCGCGAGTTCCAGGTGTGCTCCAGCTACCTCCACGCAGTACCTGACGCCATGGCATTGCGCGTTTCTGAGCTCCCAAAAGTCCCTAAGCTGACGTACCTCGAACATCGGACTTCAACAGCTTCACCACGTCTGACGAACAACACCACGACAACATCAGCGTACGAATTTGTCTCAAGAACCCCGCAATCCCCTGGTACAACATCGAAGCCTTTCCTCCGAACCTCTGCCTAGCCCTGCGAAACCCCGCGATCCATTCCAGCTCCCATCCATACCACAACAACAGAACCAAAAACATACATCATGGACTTTGCTCCCTACCAATCCTCCCCGCCGGAGCGCGAACGAGCCCTCTCCCCGCCTCTCGCGTCGCCGCGCGCCTCGGCCGATATTCGAAGACCTTTTTCGCCGTACGGCCAGCCGTCACCCCCGCCCCTGCAACACCCGCAACCGCAGCGCGGATGGCAGCCGAACCTGCCAGGGTCCTATCCCACGGCGGACGCGCACCGGGAGGGCGTGAGCGAGTTCGATACGAGTCTGGGGATCAGGCTGGATTACGAGGCTGCGTTGGCGTATCTGGCGTTTCCGCCGCTGGGTGCGATATTGCTGTTGATTGGGGAGCGGAATAGTGATTATGTGAGGTACGTGGGGTGTTGTTCTGGGGGTGTCGAGGCTCTGACAATAATGCGACGGCCTCTCTACGAGCGAGGCATATTGCTCGTTATATCGGGTCGCTGACATCAAGCAGGTTTCACGCATGGCAGTCGGCACTGCTGTTCACGGCCGTCATGATCTTCCACCTGGTGTTCCTCTCATGGTCCAAGTTCCTGAGCTGGTTCTTCTTCATCGGCGACCTGTTTGTCATGGTGTGGCTGGCGTTGAAGGCGTACCAAGATGCGGATACGCTAGATAGGTATGTTTGTTGGTGGAGCGGAGAATGAGCCCGTTGCTAAGGGGACATTGTGCTGACCGTGTGTACTAGATTCGAGGTTCCCGTACTTGGCGCCCTGGCCAGCCGGATTCTTGACGACGAATGAAATTTGACGACTCGACGAGAAGCCTGAGGGAAAGGAATTACTGTGTTGTAAGATGGCGAGGGAAGTGCCTTGATGACTTATTGTTGTACATATCATATACCCTTTTAATCAGTCGGAGAGAGAGAGACGCATCTCGACCTAGGCCAGCTGGTCTTTTTTCTCATAGATGTACCATGTTGTCTGTTTGAATGACAAGAGAAATGAGTTCGATGTGCCATGATATCAGATGACAGCATGGCTTGGTGAAGTGGTTCTGGTAATATCTCGTCGATGAAGTGAGATGTACTTAGTAATATCGTACCGTGTACAGGTATGTTTCTGCACAGTCAAAAGCACTGTAGCCGGATGCGGTCGGACTTTCCTCCTAGCGCTTTCCGGACTGGCCATTTGACGCACAGGGCAACACCAGGCTGATTACGCGACTGTTGCTTGCCTTGAGGTCCAGCTCGAGCCTCACTGCCCAGTACCTCACCCACGCAGCTCCGAAGCTGTCCCTTTCTGCTCCATCACAAACCCACGACGACACACCGGTATCGACCCGACCCGGCCCCATCACCAATCCCTCTCACGCTTTGACGATAGAAACGGCGAATTGTATCTTTGACGAACATCTACCTTTAATATCCCCCTCCCGTCCCCCACACACACCCCGCCACCATGTCGACCCTTGAAGAGCTCGACGACCTCGATCGTCAGGACAAGAACGACAAGAGAGACGAGGGCGACAAGGATAAGAAGGAGAAGAAGCCCACCAACGATGGTGATGCCGATATGGAGGATGCTGAGAAGGAGGAAGACATCCTTGACGACGAGATCCTGAACCTCAGCACGCAGGACATTCAGACACGCAAACGGCTGCTCGAGAACGACTCCAGAATCATGCGCAGCGAACTGCAACGGTTGACGCACGAGAAGGCGACTATGGGGGAGAAGATCAAGGAGAACCTCGACAAGATTGCTAACAACCGGTATGCTACTTACTTCCCTCCCTCACCCCCGACCAACGATGACGGAATGGACAACTGACATAATCCATCTTACAGGCAATTACCCTACCTTGTCGGCAACGTCGTTGAACTCCTCGATCTCGACCCTACTGCCGAGTCATTGGAGGAGGGTGCCAACATCGATCTGGATGCCACCCGCGTGGGCAAGTCCGCAGTCATCAAGACCTCCACAAGACAAACCATCTTCCTTCCGTTGATCGGTTTGGTCGACCCCACCACCCTGAAGCCTGGCGACCTGATTGGTGTCAATAAGGACTCCTACCTCATTCTTGACACGCTTCCAGCCGAGTATGACAGCAGAGTCAAGGCCATGGAGGTCGACGAGAAGCCGACAGAGAAGTACACGGACGTTGGTGGTCTCGACAAGCAGATTGAGGAGCTGGTTGAGGCCATTGTTTGGCCCATGAAGGAGGCGGAGCGGTTCAAGAAGATTGGCATCAAGGCGCCAAAGGGTACGACCGAATATCAGAGGCTCACTAGGCGATATACTGACCATACTTATAGGTGCCCTGATGTACGGCCCCCCCGGTACCGGAAAGACGTTGCTGGCCCGAGCCTGCGCAGCACAAACCGACGCTACATTCCTCAAGCTTGCCGGTCCTCAGTTGGTCCAGATGTTCATTGGAGATGGTGCTAAGCTTGTGCGCGACTGCTTCGCCCTGGCAAAGGAGAAGGCCCCGGCGATCATCTTCATTGACGAGTTGGATGCCGTTGGTACGAAGCGTTTCGACAGCGAGAAGAGCGGTGACAGAGAAGTGCAGCGAACTATGCTGGAACTTCTGAACCAGCTTGACGGTTTCGCATCAGACGACCGCATCAAGGTGCTGGCCGCTACCAACCGTGTGGACGTCTTGGATCCTGCGCTGCTTCGTTCAGGTCGTCTCGATCGAAAGATCGAGTTCCCCCTGCCGAACGAGGAAGCGCGTGCGCAGATTCTTAAGATTCACTCTCGCAAGATGAGGGTCGACCCCGCCGTCAACTGGGGCGAACTGGCCCGCAGCACGGATGAGTTTGGTGGTGCCATGCTCAAGGCCGTCTGTGTAGAGGCCGGTATGATTGCTCTGCGTATGGGCAAGAACAAGATTAGCCACGAGCATTACGTGGATGCCATTGCCGAGGTGCAAGCCAAGAAGAAGGACGTGAGTGTTGAGACCTGCTGCCCGTGGGTTGCTGTATGCATACTGACTCTTTTCAGACGGTCAACTTCTACGCTTAATCCATTCACGTGTTGGGTGATGCCGCCGCTGGGTATCTGGGGTTATTGCTTCTGGCGGGAACGGGAATGCATAGAGGAGTCGAATGCGATAGACAACAACTTTGTACGATTACCACGGACACTTAAGCGGCCCTATAGGAATGGAAAGCAGGGTGATTGTGATCCCAGCAAGCAGTCACATTACGCGTTCCGTTGATACTTGCCATGTCGGATATGCCGTTTGTGAATTCGATGTTTGAACACGGAAAAGCGAGGCCTCTTGCCAAGTGGCAAATTTAGTGAGGGGAACACGGGGGGGGAAGCTATCAACATTTGGAGATGGTCAAGTATCCTGAAAGTTTGACACCCTGACTGAAGCCTACGATAGTTATCAACGATCGGCACCCGAGAGGCGAGAAGCAAACACGCGTTCAGCTTCACGGTCTCCAAAAGGGATCGGCAAGCTGTCAGGAACACCTCGCAAAATATCGAAAGTCAGGCTACTGCAGGTCGTAGGACCTTGTCGAGCTGAGGCCGATCTCTTTTGCGAGGCCAGCACAGGCACAGGGTTGTGGGTGAGCAGGCATTCGAGAGATGGTTGCAGGTATGCATGCATGCTCTTCACAAGTTGCGATCCTCCCCCGAGCAAGGGCTATGATCTGGCTGCTTACGTAGGTGCCATCCGTGTTGTCGTTTCTGGGATCCATGTTCTTTGGAGTACTTTGGGACGAACGGCCAATGATGAGGGTCAATGGCATTGATGAGGAGGAATTGGGAATCTGTGGGAGGGTGTTGCAGGTACGGCCATCGTAGCCGAGTATCTTGAGCATCGCGTATAGGAGAGCAAATGGGCTGCTATATCGTGTGGCGTTGTATACCTACCTCAGCATCGTAGTACGTTCCCTAAGCCTCTTCCGCGAGCCGTCTTTAGAGTATCATTGGCCGTGCGAAGTCTAGGGCTTTCATTACATTGCTCTCTACGTAGACACTAGGTGCACAATGCAGATAAACAGGAGATTTGAGCTCTTCCTTGGAGGGCTGGCAGACCTTGGTTTTCCTCTCCGAAGAGGGCTGATCCCTGCCTGGTTTGGGGTCGCTTCGAGGTTCTGGGGGGTGGTTCACTGGTGGACAGGGTAGCTCAAGATGGAAGTCAAGTCCTAGCGTCCTCCCCTTTTTGTGGCTTTTGTTTTTTGCTTCTTCTTTTTCTTTCTGCTCAGCATTGGTGACGACGGTAGGTGAATATGCTGTGAAAGTGGTATGAGGGCGTTGATGGTGAGGGTATGGGGTGACATCGTGGGAGGCGAGTTTTGGCGATGCCCACTTGTCACCCAGTTTGGTGACGATGTATTTGTCTGTCCAAGTTGGCAAACCGGCAAGCTGCTTCGACTGTGTCTGTGTGGAATTCGGCAGCGTCAATGTAGGTCCAGAGTTCCAGCCTGCAGCTTTCTCGGAACTTTTTTTGTTATTCTCCTGACGAGTGTTGCCTTGCTCCCCTCACTCACTGATTCAGCGCTGCGTTTCTGGGTGTCATGGTCTCATGTTAATGACACCGTACCGTTGCGGCGGGCGTGGAGATGGGAAAGAGGTGTCACGGTGTGCTGTGCCCGGGTGTGCAGTTTGTTACCGAGAGTTCGGACCATGGCCGGGGGGATGGATTTGGGAGTGGGCGAGACCGATGACGCCACCGCGGCTGAAGGGGCGGAAAGCTGGCGGAGAGGGAAGGTTGGGCCAGATGGGAGTAAGAAGCTTATTCTCCCCCAAGTCCCTTCCCCTTGCGCCGTTTCTTACTGTTCACGCTATTGTCTTCCAAGGTGCTCGATGCATTGCGTGATGGGCCAAAGTTGGCGGTAAGCCTTACAAGGTGAGACATGAACTTTTCGGCCCCCGATCTGGGGGAAGAAGCCGCCGGCGGGAGTTAGGTTTAGAGGGAAAGTATCGCGGCCGGCCCCATCTGCCGCCCGGGGCTCCACGTCCGACTTCACTACGTACCTTGTACCTTTGTACCGGTCCAGACATTTTGATGAGTGTGAACGAAAAAGCCTGGCGGCTAAATTTCTAAATCTCTTGTTGATCGTCATAAATCATGCATTTCTTCCCTGTTGCGACCGAGTAGTCGCTGCCGTTCATCTCGTCTTTTCATCACAGCTGGTGTTCTTATTCCCAGTTGTCCCCATTTCGTTGGATTCCAAAGAGGCACCCGACACTTCATCTATTGTTAGAACGCTTGACACGTTTTTTGACAGTTCTCTAAAGGGGTCAGGATTTACTCATTGTCCAGCTGCTCAGGGGAAAAGACGTGGATGCAAGATGCAGCGTGTTCCCAAAAAACGGAGCAGCTAGTCGTGGCGTCGATGCTGATCTTTCTCAGCCACGCTTGTCCTACCGTTCGACACGAGGGGATCGTCGGCCGTTGGAAAGAAAGTAAAGAGCAACACACAGACAATTGAGGCAAAAAGCCGTCTTTTACTGCCCAGCTTCCCAACGGTCAAGGCCGAAGCGGCATAGGGACTAGAGTTGCTAGTCACCAATGGGCACCCAGCATACGCCGAAATGACGCTCTTTTCCCCCTTCCAGAAAACCAATCATGGATGGTAGACTTCTTTCAGGGGGTGTGTATTGTTGTGTGTGGTGTGAATACCGGCAGTTAAGATGCAGGGGAGCGGCACATATAGATTGTCCTTCCCTCCCCGCTTTCCTCCAAGTGATGGCCTGCCCCGGCAGCCCGTAGGCGCGGACCAACGACGTCTCAAGACGTTGATGGCTTCTCGGCTTGGCTGTTTGTTAGTGCTTCTTTTGTTGGAGGAAACCCACGCCGTTGCCTTTCCTTGGCTATGCTATGATTTGGCTCAATTCCCTTTTGATTTGCCTGCCGGTGCCGTGCCGAGAGCTTTCATGCGGCTGTATTCGAATGAGGTCAGAACCCGGTTGAAATGGAGCGCATGGAGTACCAATACTACCTTACCCGAGCCTCCTCTCTCTTGTGTCGTCTCGCCACCGCGACCTAGGGAAACAGCCGCCGCGGTGAAGATCTCTATTGTGCTGAGGCATGGCAATGGGTACTGCAATGTAGTGTAGTGTAGTGCAAGGCGAGGCGAGGCAGCGGTTGGGTATTGTCCCATCTATACCATCATCCTCGTCTGCGATCGACGCAACCCCAGGACGGATTTCTCCTTGCTCTCCACCATCACCGCCTTTCATCCCTACGTCCCTGGCCATATTCTATCTCGAAATCCTGTTCCGGTAGAAACCCCGAATGCATGTATGCACTTTCTTGGGAGACAGGGGAGCCTGGAGGCAGCCACGGCAACATCCCCCGGACCGTGATTCGAAAAGAAATCACCGACTTGGCCCGATCTGGTAACGTAGGAGAGGAGTACCTGACGTATTGCGCGCCCATCTGAAAGCTGCAGACAGACGAGCTCGGCACGCAAGGAACAGGGAGTCTGTTTCTGGAGGAGAGTAGAGAAGTAACTAGTGTCCCTTACTGGCCGGGGCCGGCGGCCGTTTTCTGCCATGCGAGATTGGGGCTCATGCATTGGTGTTTGCTAGATCACAAGGTTCTGTTTCTGGATGAGGACTGCGACTTTGTGGCTTGTGAGCCCCGTGTCTTTCATGTTCGAGATGACAGATCACGCCCACACGCCCCCTTTCTCATGTCTCTGCCATGTTCTGGAACGAGAGGTTATCGTTGAGGTTTAGACTCGGAGCACGGTTCTACCACTGTCGCCAGGCTTATCTCCTTATTCTTCATGCCCTGGCGCCTCGCCCAAGAAGTCATGGGTCTTGGTAGCGATATCTAGTCGCGTCGTCATTCTCGTTTTGAGGCTTGAACGCCATGTCACGCTGGCATACGCAGAGAACCAAAATGTATCAGCCAAACGGATCAACTGATGTATTCGCTTCAACGCAGCATGGCAATCAAGTATTCCCCACATTCCTTTTCATTTCCTATCTCTCTCTATTCGGACATTTACACAGACTATTCTGGAAGGCGAAAAAAACAAGGAAACCCGTTCGAGCACCGTTGTTCCCATGTGGAGTTCAGGTCGGATGGACACACCCACCTTCTGGTACCTCTTGCAGCAGAACCCTGCGTCAGAGACCGGGGTCGCGGACAATTCACGGGCGCATCTGCAGACGCAGACGACGCAGTGCCACAGTGGCAGTCTTCCATTGTCGTGGTCTTGGGATGGAATGGTCTGCCCGATGCTGATTTGTGCCTGCGTCGTCCGGTGACTCCGATATCTGCCAAAATTAGCCCCGTCATCCCTAGACTGAGGCTACACAAACGACTGCTTCCATCTACCTTTCACAAGACCATTGCTGTAGACCACCGGCGTTGTCATCGAATTGCTGGAGGCCAGTTGGGCGGTCATTTGGTAAGAATTATCAGCTTGTGGTTCAATGGCTTGTCTTCTCGACCACTTACACACCGCCTACCAACCATTCTCCAATTCTCACTCCGCCGCGGGCAACGACGGTGGCCTATGATATGAAGAAGAGAGCTGTGCTCGCCAAGGCAACGGCTAAGCGGCCTCAGCCGATTCAAAAGTGTGTGCCTACTCTATACAAAGTACATGTGGGTGGCAACCCTCGAGAGTCCCACTGGAGATTTCAGGTACCGATCCGAGTATTCCTATTCACACCTCCATCATCCTCAGTAATAGGGGGTTGTATACCCCGTTCACCCGTCTCGAACCACAGAATCACCTTGCCCCTACACCCGGCTACCTCCCCTGAGCTCCTATCCTCACATTGTCAAGTGAGGAGTCCCTGTCGAACATGAGATCGACACAAGCCGTCTTCGTCACTCCACAATCAAAGGGGGGTGCAAGGGGAGGGGAGGAGATATAGCTGCCTCCCGTCTAAGGCGGTAGGGGGCCATCACGATGTCACGCTGTCCAAGGATTGGGACAGAAGTCCGTCGTCGGGGCGGCGCGAGCGCTTCGTTTGCTTGGGGAATCTTGGTCAGAGAGACATCGTCATCGAGACCGGAGGCCTGTGACGAAGGACAAGACGAGTGTCTTGTTTATGGTCTTTGCGGTCGTCACGTCTTGTCTGGAATCTCTATATAAGAAAGCACGTCAGTCCCCGTTGATGGCCATCTTCCTTCCCTCCACTCATCAGCTCCATCACACCAACAAGCCTCATCTCCAGCTTACAACAATCACTCTTCTATTCCCATCTACTACATACCCACTTACACCAAACCAACCCACCGCCATCATGAGATTCACCATCGCCCTCACCGCCCTCTTCGCCGGCGTCGCTCTCTCCGCGCCCCTCGAGGAGCGCCAGGCCGTCTACGTCCCTTGCTCCGGCCTCTACGGCACCTCGCAGTGCTGCGCGACGGACGTCCTCGGCGTCGCTGACCTCGACTGCGGCAACCCGCCCGAGGCACCTACCTCGGCCGACGAGTTCAGCTCCATCTGCTCTGCCATCGGACAGCGTGCCCGCTGCTGCGTTCTGCCTATTGTGAGTTCTCTTCTGTATCTTGATCTATATGATATGAGCGTGTTTACTGACAGATGATACAGCTTGACCAGGGTATTCTCTGCAACACCCCCACCGGTGTCACCGACTAAGCGTCTCATATCGGACGCGGGTTTGAAGCCAACGATACTTCATTACTTGACGAGAGAGCTCTTGAGTTGAAAGAACTCGGGAGCCATGAAGATTTTGTACGAGTTGAGAAGGATGTAACGGTACTCTTGATTCGATATACATGGGCAACAATTGTTTTATAAACTGGGACGGGGAAGACGGCTGGGGGTTCAGGGGCGGAAAAGGCTTGGAGTCTATGAGGGCTATATAGGCTGCTTTCTGGCAGCTTGTACAACACCTATGTATAGGGAAATGAATGTTTTGTTGAAGTCAGTCGACCTTGTTGGCGGTGAACTCGTTGAAGTGTAAGGTCCACAGCTTGTGTCGACGATTTACAGCCACCGGTGTGAAAGTATACGGGCTTCACGGTAGACGACAGCATCTGGTCAAACGGCTACACCCTGTGGTAAGGAATCTGCAGTATTGACTGTGGTTTGATGGCAAGGTATGCAAGAATCAACGTCGAACCCGTCTCTACTTCTAAGCCTTCTTCCCATATTCCACACAACATAATACGTACACCATGGGCTCGCATCCCCATCTACGAGTTTCACCGACTTCTTCACCAGTAAGTCGCTCGGAATTACTCACAATGCATTCATCTTGCGAAAGATAAGCTACTTAGGTAAGATTCCTGCCATGAGATTTGCCTCCCGACATTGATAGGACGAATGGCTCGTTATACAGGCCTCGAGACGGGCAGAGTGTATACACCAACTTAACAGAAGCAACAACATCGCATCCATACCTACTGGTCCGGATGAGAGATCCTCAGACACGCAAACTCGTTGGGTCTCGCTGCCTTTGAGTCAACTGGCTAATATGACTGAGAAAGATAGCTCAAGATACAGACCGCAAGGTCTACACATCAAATGACACTAGAAACAGACATACTCCCCAAATAATACCGTGCACGATCTCCGGACAGGCAACTCGAAAGTCAAGAATGCGAAAAGGAGTATTCACATCTTGACATCTTTGAGAAGCAGCATAGACGAAGCAGCTGTCAAAAGAGGGCCAGTCCGCAAACGCGCCA